GCTTGGGTATGCTGAGCAGCTTGCAGATGTTCAAGAAGGACATGTAATCATATCTCCCATGGAAATTCAAGCTTACAAATTGGAATTACGGCCACATCAGTGAGCTGTGTTAGTGTAACCATTCTGTAAGTTTGTAAGTGTGAACCTTGACAAGTTGGATCCTCTACTAGGAAATCAGACCCGAACCACCAGCATGGATCCAGAACTGAATCTCAGCAGCTGGGTGGTGCCTATCCTTCGGAAGATCTTCACACACGAAAGAGGCATTCACAGAGGCTCATACGTTCTGATGCTTCACTCAATCATGCACCAGCCGCGAGACCCGACTAATGTTTTTCTATTGGATGTGATCTTTATACGCTTGTAAAACTGCATCAATTTTGTATTAATAGGAAGTTAATAGTCATCAACGTGCTCGTGCTCGAGGATGTTGGGAACCTTTTTATTTGGTTTCATAGAGATGCCTTGAGACCATGAAAAGCTTATGATTATATATCAGCTTCGTTGCTCATTTCTACCGTAATCACTCTTTGCTTTTCCACCAAAATGAAAAAAAGTGGAATCAATTCTCTCAAGAACTAAGAAAGATTTCATCTGAATTCAAAGGGTAATTACTCAAATCCTATTTAAAGATTTGAATTGTGCGGGTATCGAGCAAATTCCGAAGCTCAAGAAATCTAAGCAGTTAAGTCTATAGAGCTGAAGCCATTGCGAACCACGGGGTCCCAAAAGACAACAATGCAGGGGTTGAGTTTTCGTCGTTCACCCCTTTGCTGGAGTGAATCCTGCGTGATGTTCTCTGCTTCAGAATTTAAGAGCATCTCATTCGACAGGAAAGCGTTCCTAGTGGAATTTCAAGGAGACATATTATAGGATATTTTCGTTGGACATCTTCGTTCAGTTTCAGAAACACAATTTCGTGTCTGTCGGTCTATACCATCGTGACACTTTTGTTCGTTTCCCTTGTCTTTTGCCGCAACGCTCCCGTTTCCTCGTGAAACCAACCCTGTCGAATGATTCCAAATCATCCGACTGTAAACTCAAGAAACCCCAGGAATCCTCCATCAACCCTGCGGCTTCTCTCTCAGATTTCTGTCTCGGAAGACTGGTAGAAATGCGTGCGTATCCGCGAAGTTGACGATCGTTCGTGTCTCCGCATGCATATGCCTGAGACGACATCGTGGACGTTCCTTCTCTTCGGTAAGTAATTTCTAACTTGGTCATCTCCTCGATTTCATATTATTGCTTGTATGAATCTCTGTTGAGCACAGCCAGAGTTTTAGTGACATTTAAGATGATCATCATCTGAGGTTGCTTAGTTGACTGCGCGCCATCTTATAAGAAAGTATGAACAAATGGATTTCATCAGTCACTCACTCAGCAAGAATAGACTATCGACATCCATTTCTTTTGCGTGGCTATGTAAGTATTTGGTTCCATTAGTGCTGCAAGACTTGCAAGTTACAGGTTTCCCAATCGTCCCATTCGACCGGTGGGGCTATTCCGGGTTCATGGATTAGCCAGAGTGAATCGTATTGCTGTCTTAAATTACTATGTGACGGATAAGCTATTCGGCAAATTGGGCGCGTGAACCCAGATGAATTCGAAACGTTGGATGGGAGGGGGATATACAGGGGATCCATGGGGGACCAATCATTTCTGGCGGTCCAGGTTCATTTCGGTACGTGTACATGTACTCGATTCACTGGGTAACTAGTCCCCGCACGTGACATGACCTCGTCGCCATCGAGTTGTAAGCAATCCGATTCGGGGCCCAACTTGGTAACGTGTCCTGGGATCACGTACCACTTCCAGTCGAAATATCTCACGTGCTTTCCTTCAAGTTTCCATTTTTTATTTCCTTCTTTGCCGGGGTCGTAGATATGCGTGGGCTGTTGTCGAGTCCCGAGTGGGTGCTCCGTCATTGGATCCGATAGATTGGTGGTGGTGGGCCGCCGGTGGTGGTGACTGACGAGGTGAGGAACATATCGGCCGAAGTGCCATCCATGTCATTCACCACCACGTCTCAATCTCTCTTTTCTTTTTGGGGTAAGCACGTTTTTTTTTTTTTAGCCAACTAGGTAAGCACGTTAGAAGTTCTAAAACTTGTCAGGAAAGTGCAATTGAGTTCTAAAACTTTTAAAAAATGCGATCAAGCCCTAAAACTTGTCACGAAAGTACAATCAAGTCCTAAAACTTTCAAAAAGTACAAACAAGTCCTAAAACTTGTTACGAAGGTGCAAATAAGTCCTAAAACTTATCAAATTGGTTCAATCAAGTCATTTCATTGATTATACTTTTTGAAAGTTTTAGGACTTGGTTACACTTTTGTGATAAGTTTTAGGACTTGATTGCACATTCGTGACAAGTTTTAGGACTTGTTTGAACTTTTTTAAAGTGTTAGGACTCAAGTGCACTTTCCTAACAAGTTTTAGGACTTATCCCTTTCTTTTTTTTGGGCAAAAGCTTACAAGGGTCGAGAAATTGCCTTGAAGTAGCAGGGAGGAAAACAGGTTTCCTTTTGCCTCTTGGAAAGGAAAAGGAAAGGGTGAGAAGGAAAATGAACGAAGGGGTCGTTTGCTTCTTCGGGCTCCATATCGTCGTCAGCCACCACTGAACGATGCGGGCATGTAGACACCCGTCTCAACCGAATCGAGGACGGATGCATGAAATTCCACAAGTAGGGATTAGAACCTAGCTCTGATATCATATTAAACCGACTCTACTTAACACTAATAGGTGAAGGAAGACCGCATTTATATAAAAAGCATGTAACATATAGATATGAGAGGCGGGATATTTTTAACACGGTTAGAAAGAAGGGCAAAAAAATCTTCGACTAATGTGGCAAACGTCACGTGTCTTGTTGACGCGAGTACTGTAAAACGATCGAAAGCTCTTAATTCGTCTAAACTTGAGAGTGAGTAATTTCGGGTAGAACGGGGGTAATTTTAGATTCATGGGGTTTGCTTTTTAGTTCTTTTTTTTTTTTCCCTTTACTGGTACGTTTGCCAAGAGATGAGTAAGGCTTAACTTTGCTTCATGTCCATGACCAAAAATGGGCGAACATGAATGGACATGCATCCGTGATTCATGCATTAGGAAGAAAAAGTTGAAACATCATGTCGACCGGCGGTATAAACCATTCATCTTTTTTGCAATCACGAGTCAATATTTCCTTTTACAATAATCTCCCACTTTGCACTCCATGTTTACACGAAAATACACATTTTTTTTAAGTTACTGTTTAAGGGATGCATATTATTAGATCCTCTCCATCGAAACGAGAAGTCACTCCACAAAAAATCTGGTAAATTAAATTAATCAGCGCATTTGAATGAATAGCTCGATTTATTTTATGAATTCGTATGATAATTTCTCTTTGCACTTTTTTTACGTGGGCAGTGTACGAGAGGGAAAAAAAAAATATTTTTGGGTGATGCTAACTAGTGTTCATGATGTGCTTGTTGAATATGGTTTAGAGTTAATACCACAAAAAATCTCAAGATGGTACAGCTGTGACAATTTTACCCCAAACTAATTTTTTGACCACTAAAAACTCGAAACTGGTATACCTATGACAAATTTACTCTCCGTTAGTTTCTGTTAAATTTTACTGTCAAATTGCTGAGTTAAACGACACGTGACAGTTGACCGATGTACCAGCTTGGAGTTTTACTCTCCATTCGTCACATGTGTACTAGTTTGTGATTTTTTTTTGTATCAATCCATTTTAATAGAGGATAAATTTGTCACAAATGTACCAGTTTGAGATTTTTTGTAGTAAAAAAATTAATTTTGAATAAAATTATTATAGGTGTACCAACTTGAGATTTTTCGTGATCAAAAAATTAATTCGGGGTAAATTTATCATACGTGTACCAATTTGAAATTTTTCGTGGTATTAATCCTATGGTTTATAAAGGGTGGGTTTGTTTGCACTTAAATATAAGTAAAATGTGCTTTTTTTTCCCATCAAAAGTTCAAAATATTATTAAAAAAAGCATACATGAGTCTCCGTTCAACATTTAATCATTGAAAAAGAAAGTACAACACATTGATATGGAAGATTCAAATTAAGAAAACAGTAAAAAATAAGAGTCACTTTAGACTAATAGAAAGAAAGCTATAATTTCAAAATCGTTTATTAACCCTTTATGATAATGGTTAATATATAAAAAGAGGCGGCTCTATTTCTACTTCTTATACGACTAAATCTACCTCATTTACACTAAACAAATAAAATAGCCCTCAATCATTCTATTGCAAAGTGCCGGCCTCAATCATTGGTCGCCATAGTTCGAAGCGGGACTTGATGAGCCGGTATTCCCTGTGCACTCGTTAAAATACCAAAATATTTATATCGTATTATCGAGTACCCTTATGTTATGCATAATTATCAGCTTCGAAAATCGAGTTATTTTTAACAAAGCATGCGTGACAAGTGCCTCGAAGGAGCGCACTCATTTTTCATTTTTTTGGGGGGTCACGAGAAACGCACTCATTAAAGAGGGTCTATTTTTGTTTTGTAAGACCAAAACCCAAGAGGGTCTTTCTTTAGACATTTTCATCTGCCTTTTCTTTCTCTCTTCGATTCTGTCTGCGAATCATTCAATGCTGTAGTATTGTTCGCGTCACTCGCCATTCGCCAGCACTTTTCCCAAAGTTTCCCAACATGGGGATACGAAGAGATATGTTTCGTGGGTGGTTGCCACGGCAGATCACGGGTGTCCGGCGCGCCACGTGTCCTCCCGCAGCGGCCTTCCTTGAAGGAAACGCCTCTTTGAATCTGAAGAGGGAGAGGAGGGAGGGAGGCAGGAAGGAGGGCCCAAAGCCAAAGGCCAAGAACGTAACGTAAATGACCACTGCATGTCATCATTCATCGTTCACGTTCCCGATAAGGTGGTGGCGCAGTGGTGCTTGCTGCAGTCACTCCGCACTTACGCTGCTTACGTCCGTTGCACCACATGTTTTCCATCGATAGGGTTAATCAGAAATAGCTGCAGAAGAGAGAGACTTCAATTGGGTTATAAGGAATATTCCGGGTCGATATGCGACCCGACCGAAACTCAGAGCCACCGCATGTCGATATTCGTCCTTCACCTTCACCTTCACCTTTATCCTCCTCCACGTTCCCCATAAGTCACTCCGCACTTGGGTTTTCTACGTTTGTTGCACCAGTTGTTTTCGTCGATAGGGTAATTAGAAATAACTGCAGAAGAGGAGAGTAATTGGGTCACGAAGAATATTCCGGGTCGATGTGCGACCCGACCGAAACTTCAAGTGGGCTTTCGTATATTTTATAGCCCCCCCCCCCCCCCCCTGGCTTTACGTCTTTATGGGAACAAGGCATGGTCGGGGGGAGGCAGAACTGAATCTTTTGTTTCTTTCTTTCGTTTTTCTTTTGGAAAATTAGTGAGGAGTCTAGTGTCCCACTATCGTATAAAAGGCAGCGACTGAGGCCGGGGTCTAAGCAAGAAGAGCCAAAGTCGCCAGTGGGAGCTACTGTTTTCTTCGGGTGGGAAGAGAGTGAAGTTCTGACTCGGTTTTGGCTCACTGAGAGTTAAACACGAGAGAGATATGACTGATTTCGCCTCCTCTGTTATTGCATATCAGCTCCACTCAGGATCATCATCGACTCCTTGAAATTCTGTGTTACTCCTCATCATCCACCTTTTTCTCTCCAAGCCCACAATGGAGAAGAGGCTCAACAAGGCTTGTGTTCTTCTCATGGGTAAGAATTCTGTATGTATATGTTGCATGCAAATAACACGAACGACCCGTTAATTATTGCTGCGCTGTGAATCGGTTCGAATGACGGCTTTTCTTGTGTGTCTTTCTTTTTTTTGTGGTTTTATGTAAATTTTGGTGCAGTGATAGCTGGGATGGAGAGGTTCGTGTTCAAAGGGGTGGCGTCGAATCTGGTGACGTATCTGACGGAGGTGATGAAGATGAGCAACTCGTCGGCGGCGAAAATGGTGAGCGCCTGGTGCGGCCTCACCTATCTGCTCCCTCTGCTGGTGGCTCCCCTCGCCGACTCCTACTGGGACCGCTACTCCACCGTCTTGTCCTTCTCCCTCTTCTACGTCGTGGTGAGTCTGGGTCGGTTCTTGCTTTGCATGCGCTCCTCGCTCTGTCCAATCCGCTTCGTGATTTCTCAGTTCCTTGCTTTCCACAGGCATGTTTTCTTCTTCTCCTATCATGAAAAGGATGTTCTCATTTCATGGCTGATGGGTGTTTTTAACGTGAACTCGCAGAATCGTCAAGAATGTCATGATTCTCTTCTTGATATTGAAATCATTAAAGCCAGATTAGGGTTTTCCTTTTTTTTTGTTTCTTGATGATTAAATGTTGCATTTATGATTTTATACAATATCTTGTCTGGAAGACAGGGACTTCTCGTAATCATGTCATTAATGGAAGAGATAGTAAATGCTTGTGAGCGCATAGAATATGGTACGACCGTCTTCCTAAACATTTTGTAAGCCTGGCAGTGTTACTCTTCATTTGTTTGATTAGTTTTTCGCGAGACGGGGATTCGATTGGCACGAATCGAGGAAATTAGAATTCTCGATTGCAGAAAACGAAACTTAAGAGGATCAAATCATGCAATTCCAGAAAGTCGGAGGACTCGATAAAGTCAAAGGATCAAATTGTATAGACGCTGAAATTTAAAAGATTAAATTTGCGCTTAACCCTTCTTTGTTTTCAATTATTTAGTTACATGCGTAATTTCGATGTCTTCTATGTTTTTTTGTGATGAAGTCTGTTTTTTTCTTCTTTTTTAATTCAAGAGACCATAAAGGTGACCCGTGTGACTGCTTTCTGAATGTTGTTTTGAAGGGTTAATACCGCGAAAAATCCCCAAATTGGTACGCCTGCGATAATTTTACCTCAAACTAATTTTTTGACCATCAAAAACCCCAAACTCCTGTGACAAATTTACCCTAAGTTTATTTCCGTTAAATTTTACAGTCAAATTTCTTTGTTAAATGACACGCGGCAATCGACGGATATACCAATTTTATGTTTTACCCTCCGTTTATCACAGGCATACTAGTTTATGATTTTTTGTGGCATTAATTCAATTTAATGGAAACTAATGAAGGGTAAATTTGTCACAAATGTATTAGTTCGGGGTTTTTAGTGGTAAAAAAATTAATTTTGAGTAAATTTATCACAGACATATAAATTTGGGGTTTTTTTGGGAGTTTTTTGCCGTATTAAACCTTGTTTTGATGCTTTTTCACTTGGAGGTGCTCAATCAATGCCTTTTCAGTAGCAATCTGAATAATAAAGAAACCCTTTTTTTTTCTCTTTTGCCCTTGAGAAAAAACAAATGCCTTTTCATTTCATCAACTCTCTTTTTGTGACACGACCTTCAAGAGCAACTTTCTTTTGGGGAATTAAGCACAGGTGCAATCTGATGTGTTCCAAGTGTTCAATGTGAAATCTGATGTGTTCCAAGAGTAGAGGCAGTGAATCTGTAATTTCGTACCTTGCTGTTGATGCCCGTTTTTTCTTTCCTTTGTGTTGTGAAGGGACTGATGGCATTGACGTCAACGGCATTGGAGTCGACATGGCACCCGCCGACCAAGCCCGACTATTCTCCGTTCCTTTTCTGGTCCCTCTGTTTGATCTCGGTTGGCCTCGGTGGGTACAACCCGTCATTGCAGGCGTTCGCGACGGATCAACTCGACAATGAAGAGGAATTGCCTCGCAGCAAGGACGAAAAGAAATCGGGTAAGAACAGCTCGTTCTTTCAATGGTGGTACTTCAGCATTTGTAGCGGCAGCCTCTTGGGGATAACGTTCATGTCGTACGTACAAGATACCTTCGGATGGGTTCTGGGATTCGCCATACCGACCGGAGCGATGATTGCGGCGGTTGCATTTTTCTCTTGCGGAAACAAAATCTGTGGGTACAAACAAGATGCAAATAATGTTCATAACAAGCCCTTTCAGATCGTACTTAAGAGCATCCGAGCGATTGCATCCAAATTCAAGAATGGAGCAATCTCCTTACCAGATGAGAGGTCTGAATTGGAGGAGCTAGAGTAAGTTCTCCAAGTTATTGACCCAACAATTGCCATCCTTTCATGATCTTGATCAGTCACTGACAAGTCTCATCACTTTTTATTGCATACAGGCTGCAACAGAAACCTCTTTGTCCTCGCAGTGTCGGGGTCGTCGAGAACTTGGAAAAGAACACCAAAAACAGTCACAGTTTTGCGATCAGTAACGTGGAAGTAGTACTTCGGCTGCTGCCTATATGGACGATGCTCCTGATGTTCGCCGTGATCTTCCAACAACCGGCGACCTTCTTCACGAAGCAAGGGATGGTGATGAAGCGGAACATCGGGAGCCACTTCAACATCCCCCCAGCGACCCTCCAGAGCGCCATCAACCTGTCCATAATCCTCCTAATGCCTCTATACGACAAAATGCTGATCCCGATCACTCGGCTATTCACACGAGACGAGAAGGGCATCAACGTGATGCAGAGGATGGGGATCGGCATGTTCCTCTCAATCATAGCCATGGTGATAGCTGCGCTCGTTGAGACAAAGAGGCTCGAGACGATAGGAAGATCTGGACATGCCGAATTGAGCATCTTCTGGCTGCTCCCGCAGTACATTCTGCTCGGTGGATCCGACGTCTTCACCGTGGTCGGGATGCAGGAGTTCTTCTACAGCGAAGTCCCTCTTAGGATGAGGACCATGGGATTCGCGCTGTACACAAGCGTCTTTGGAGTTGGGAGCTTTCTGAGCGCTGTGATGATCTCGGCGATCGAGTTTTTCACGCGGGGACACAGCTGGTTCTCCGACGACATGAGCAAAGCCCACCTAGACAGTTACTACTGGCTTCTGGCCTTGGCGAGTTCATTGAGCATGCTTCTGTACATAGCATCGTGTAAACTTTACAGGAGCCCAAATGGTGTGGAAGGTGAGGATTGTACATGACTTCATTGTTTTTGCTTTGGTCCTAGGTGGGTTTTTCTTTTTCTTCTGTTTTTGTTTTGGATCAGGAAGTAAGCGCGTGTTTCTTCGTTGCCCTTGAAGTGGAAATCTTGATAATGTTCCTCGTGGCAAGTTGATCGCAAAATGTCACCTTCACCAACTGCGCTGGGACGCAAGTTTGTTTTATGGACGAAATCAACTGAACTATAAAGCCCAGAAAATCAGAGAATCGGTACAAATTTTTGCCGGGGGAAGTTGTTGAAGCACAGGCCCTTCCAGTTTCATAAAAGAGGGCATTCCACTCGAGATAAAACTTTTAAACTTGAGGCTGCGAATCAAAAGATCAGGTCAAAGGGTCAAAGTTCAAACCTCCACTTTGAAAAAGGTTTAAGCTAAAGCTGATTAGACGCAGAGAAAAGCACCGAAAAAGGCTCTCGCGCCATTGCATGCTTTAGTTAACCAGATATGTTGGGGGTTTGGCTTTAGGTCACGTCTCGAGCAAGCAAAACTATGCATGGAGGCTGTAGATATATCATATCACTCCAAAAGAATGTGATTTGGAACGTGACCTGGAAATGTGCTCTTTCCACTTGAGTTGACCACCTTTTATGACTCGCAAGCATTCATGAGACATTGCTGTTGAAACTAGGACTCTAGATTCTCATAGAACTGGGATCTACTTACCGCGACTAGTATGAGAAGACAAATTTGCCCAAGCACCAACATAGGTTACTCGTATCCTTTGAACCCTCGCCGACATAGGAAGTTACTAATCGACTTGATCGATGCTCGTGCTCACCGATCAGGAAGAAGAATCGCATGAATAACCCACCATGAGACAGAGTCGACCAACCACATGCTAAAAAGCAGCCCCCCCTAAACAAGGGCTATTAAAAGCAAGTTCTAGGACACAGGAGTGGATGCCAAGACAAAGACGAAGAAAGTCAGCACCTTCATACATAGTAGCATGTTTCATATGACTAAATCATGGGAACTTTCTTGTTAATGAAGAAAATGGAAAAGGTGCAATGGACAAGGTGTAGGATGATGGGAGGATGAAATGCAAGCATCCTCCGACATCTGAACACAACCTCCGAACACAACTTCACACATAGAGCAAACTAGGCAGAGAAGTTCCAAGGACATCAGCAAAACAGAAAGTTGCCCAAACAAAATACAGAACCTAACTGCATGATAATGATGGTGGCTAAAGAATAAATAACACTTAGGGAACAAATAACAAGTGAAGAACTCTGTGAGAGAGAGAGAACAATTTGAACATGCAGTGACTCATGAGCATTTACCTGCTCATGCAAACGTACAGTGGAAGAAAGAGGATAATGAATTGGGTCGTTTACTCCTGGAAGAGCCAATAACCCGTGTCCACGTCTAGTAGGATGACTTTAAAAGTCAAGGTCGCGGTGAACAAGTCTATTGATCCTCCTTCAAGTTATGCAATTGTTTCCAGAGGTAAGAAAAGACAGACTAAATGGCAATTTCAGTGTCACCCCATGCCATTGCCTATTCTAAGAAAACCTGTCAAAAACAACACGATGCAACTAATACCAAATCAAGTATCCCACTCTCTTTCATTGCTGCAACTTCAAGCGACTCAAAACATATCTGAATCCAGCATATGAAAATGTCCCAGCAAGATCAAGCCACAGGATACCTGACCATGTCTTAGCTTGTAATCTATCACCAGCTGCCAGAGGACACAGAGGAGTGATGAGGCTCTAATTCCCATTGAGGGGTCAATGTCACCGGGTGCTTACTCACAAATTCACAATGCGATCTCAGAACACACAGACATATCAAATATGACAAACAGCAAACAAAACTGTGTCTTCTAAGGACATTAAGGTAAGAAAGGTAGCAAACCAATTCATAACCTCTCGGCAAACTTGATAACAAGAGAACAAGGGATGACAAAAGGAATTGGTCAGTTTTGCTTCTCCAACCGAATGTGATACAAATACTGGCAATAAAGCAAGTCAACGGTGAGCATCGGGTCAAGCTTAAGCATTCAAAGGCAAGCTTTCAGTAAGCTGATATGCCAACTGCAGCAGCTAACCCATGCATACTGAACCAATTTTGGTGCTTCATCCAATCATCGGAAAGACTTTGGCTCTTTCCTAAATGGTTGACTACACTTTCCCATGCTCGTCTCCTCCACCTATCGAAAAATCTATTTGATCGGAAGCGCCAGAAAAAGGAAACGAAAGAAAGAAAGGCAACTCAAACTGGAGAGACAATGGCAATCATGTCCGTGGGAACCACACTCAAAAGTTTGCATTTTATTATATGCTTCCCTATTTCAGCAGAGGGTTTCTGACCTGACCCGAACAGAGACAGAAATTCGATACGTATTACAAACATGAAAGAATTAGCTCAACAATTGCAGCAAGAAACTATAGCAACCGAAATTTTTTTTACAGAATGGAAAACCAACATAAAAGCTACCTCAGTTCACTTTGTACATTAAAAGTCGGGTTCATCTTCTCTAAGCACTTGGAAAATTGATAACATGAAGTCAGCCTCCTCAAACAAGAAACTTCATTCTCTCTCCCTCAATGATGGGAACCATATCCATTAGCACTCAACTCTATCACAGCACCCTTCGGCTTCGCCACGTTCTCCTCTTCCCTGATCCCATCACCAACATCTTCATCAGAGTCCAGAGAAAACTGGGCATGATTGCCCAAACTCTGAACTTCTTCCCCTAAGGGCCTGTAATTTGCAAAATCCCCTCGGATCCCATTCTTCTGCGCGATCAGGGAATAGACCCCGGCCACTACGGTCACCAGCAGAGCAAGATGGCAATTAAACTGAAGCGTTGCAATCGCTCTAGCCCGATGATACTCAGAATGCCCCTTGCACTTGACCGTGTAATTCCCTCGACTCTTCTCATGCAACCAACACCCATGAGCAACCAAGCCAGTGTAAAAAGAAAACCCCATTTGCAGAAACCACGTCCCCTGAAGCACCAACCCCACAGCGCGCGCCAATCTTGGCAACGCCGATTTCGGGGATTTCAACCCCAGAACCGTAGAGAAGGTGCATATCGCGATGGGCACGAGCATGAGATCGAAGTACCTGTTCTCAATCCCACTCGTGTCCTTCCTCTGGAGGTAGTACACCAAGAACTCCTCCACGAAAGCGAACAGAGCGATCACGTCGACCAACGAAGGGCTCAAAGGAAACGAGCTCGTCAGATTGACCAAAATGCCAGCGACCGAGTACAGCAAGAACAGCGCCGCCACCGCCACGACCTGCAGCTGGAGAGCCGAGCCGACGCGGTCCCCGGACCCGGCCGCGCCGGCGAGCGAGATCAGCGAGTTGACCACGAACAGGGACGAGAGAACGGAAACCGAGACGAGCGAGATCAAAGACGTCCCGATCTTCGTTCCCGACCGGGGCGGCGATCGCGGCGAGGGAGGGCTGGGGCTGCCCGTCCGGCCCGCGAGCGAACCCGACGCCGCGAGAGCCTCGAGTGCGCCGATGGAGATGAATCCGCCGCCCGCCACGGCGAGCGCGACGAACCCCATCGTCTTCTCCGTGCGCGGTTGAGATTCGGGTTTCGCTTCGAAGGGATCGAAGAGGAGGGGTAGGAGGAGGCGGCGGCGGAGGAGGGCGGAGGAGGGCGGACGGTTATGCGAAGAGACCGTCGCGCTCGCACGGCGTCGATGGTCAAAGGAGGTGGAGGTGTGAGCTTGTCGTGTCTTCTTGGTGTTTGTGTGTGTTTGTGTAAGGTCGTTCGTTTTCTGCGTGCTTGTGGTGGTTTCCGGTTTGGACTGTTCGGACATTCCGTTTCTAGAACCGCCGCCGGAATGATGACCCGGTGACCCGACTCAGTTTCTTCTCCGGTGAAGCCCGATAAGCTTCTTGATCTTCGATTGTTTAGTGGAAAATGACCGAGTCGAAGAACATTTTCCTAAAAATAATAACTCATATCGTTTATAAAAATGAATGAATAATATTTGTTTCAATGTCTTTGAAAACGTTTAAACATAAATTATTATCGATAATAATAATAATATTTCTATTGACTAATTATTTCATACGATACAAATGATCGTTTTTAGGAAAATGTTTTCTAATGTCGCACATAATGTGTTGTCCAAACCTGCATATAGCCGATGTACATTAAGATGTTCTAGCCCGGCCCTAATTAGCATTGAGCGAATCGGGCTTTTCCGTGAAAATCATTACTCGCAGTTATGCCCTATTGGTGAGTTGCTCTAACTTATTAGTGTTATAGACAACCCTAAGACGTGTTTTGCCGGAAAAAAAGAGAGAGAGGGGAGTAAAACTAACACACGTACCAATATGGTTAAGCTGGACATACTAAACCTAAGATTTCCTTACTTAGGCCCGTTCCTCATTCAATAAAAATTACGTTTTAAGTATATTTGTTTACATGTTATTTGTGGGAAAAGAAATTAGAATTCGAGCTCGGAAGACCCGAGCGCTCCCGCGATAAGCCAAGCCCTCGATCATGTCTATTAGTAGATCAAGTCGGATCTTCTCTTGGTCGTAGGTCACACACAACTTGCGACACTTTCATACTTTTTGTTGGTTTTTTTCATTAATTAAATTTCCCTCACATTAAAATTTTCTCCCTCACACGTGATTATGCGATGTTATGGTTACAATTACATAAAAAAAAAAAAAGTAAAAGCGCTAAAGCTCGGCATAGCAAGTTAAATTCGATTGATTTCTTTTCCCAAATGGAGATGGGGAATGCCTCCTAAAGCAAACTTGGAAACCTAGAAGAACCCAGAAAATGTCAGTAGATGGTCACTGGCGAGGGCAAGTGAGAATTGTTGAGTAAAATAAGGAGTACTTGAGGCAAACCGTGACTTAGGAACTAAATTAGAATAGATCTAGTCGGTGTTGGTGTCAAAGGAGTCGACAAACGAGGTCCTGGAGTCTGGTCTTGGAGACCAGCAAAAATCTTCGTTGTTAGTTATTTTGCTCTGCAAATCCCACTTTCCAACTTGAAGGAGCCAACTTCCGAGCGCCTTCAAAGGACAATTTCTTGGCTTCCTCGGTCAAGAGCCACTTAACACAGCAACTAGTAAACAAGGTAAGGACCCTAGATTTGTTTTTGTTCATTGTTGGCTCTGGTTTGATGATGAAAATCGAGAGGAAAACCAGCCCACAAAACTGATTTCTGGGGCTGGAATTTTTTCCGGCGTCGAACCTGTTCCACGAGTCTTGCATATTTGACTTGCTATGCCCATTTTCATGCATTTCCTGTCTTTGTGAGCTTAACGGAAGTTATATGGGTGAACAAATGATGTCTTGGTTAGCTCGGTTTGGTCTTTAAGTCTCTGTGTGAACCATGAGATCGCTTAGAACTTGAGCCAAAAACAGAGTCGATCCATACTGGGTTCATGGCTGGCCAGTGTGTTCCACGCGAGTAGACTACTTGGAGAGGTCGTTTTGATGTGTGTGGTTGATCATTCTCCAAAATTCTTGCTTCATATGAAACTCCGTGTTCCATAATTTCATTGTGATAGAGTAAATGTTCATGAATGTCTCACACGTGGTACGTATCAAGGCTTGCAACTGGGCAAGCAACCTGTTTGCCTGACCTGGGTTCAAACCCAGATATACAAAACAGGTCAGACCTGTAACTTTGAGGCTAATTTCAATCGTATTTGAGTGTGTTTTAGGATGATATTTCTTGCTAATCTTGTTTTCTGCATGTTTTAGTATAACATTGATTCTTTAAGATCATCTATAGATCGAGAATGAAAGCCATGAACATGGCCCAACGCAACTAGTGCGGGCAATGCAATGCGCACCAAATGTTTGGCAAAATATTAAGACCAAGTTTCTATCTTGAAAAGGTCGATTCGAGCTTCGTTATTGTGATATTCATGTTCTGAGTTGGTCCATGTTCATGTGAATCAAGCATAGCTCGGTTTAATGAATTAAAATTATTTTTCAAAAAAATATAAAATACAAAAAAACGAAAAATCATGAAATTTTCCAATAAATCAAAATACGCATATTAGTGCTGATTTAGGGCAGAAATGACATTTTCAAAATCTTCCTAATTTTCCAGAGTCTCTTTCCTAATTTAGTGCTTTTTTTTTTTGCTTCATAATCATTTTTCTAAATAGTCCATTTTGCATAGATTAGGATTATTTAGCGTAGTTTCACGCATTTAGAGTAATTTCATGCATATTTAAATTCTCGTTTAGCTCACAACGATCATGTCCCGAGGCTTAAAACAAGGCGATGTAATATTTTTTGCCCGACGAGTATCGGGTTTTCACTTTCACACTTTTACTTTAAGCTTTTGATATATTGAGTGTTTCATTTCTCGCACTTTAAATACATTAGTTGTTTCATTTCCTTTCTAGAATGGAAAGGATAACCCTAAGAACATAATACACCCCAAAACAACATTTGCATGAACACGTAGTGACTCAAAGATCTTTAAGATTATAATTGGTAACAAAGAATGCTTGATCACTTAGATGAACAATCCCACCAAGTTAGAGATATCAGCATTAGACCATTAGCGTAATCAAGTCTCGATCCCAGTTAATCTCTCGTTGCGTAGGAAGTGAGACATAACTCTCATATCTCACTTGATTTCTAGCGGACCTCAAAATGGTTAGTGGCAACTACTACCTCACATAGAAATCTTTTAGGATTAAATATAAAATAAAATCTAACGTCACGCAAGTTATGGGCTTGGGAGAGCCCGCACCTAATCAAGGGTCATTGGCCTGCCATTAGGTAATATCCTTAAACTCGTTTTTTTTCCCCCAACGAAAAAATAGGGTCTCGATAGTAGGCAATTTTAGGTACTGCTCAGAAAAAAAACTTAATTGCACTTTTTGAAGAAAGTTTAGCACTTAATAAGACCAATTGAAAGGTTTGGGATTTGTTGACACCTAAATTTTAGTTGAAATGTTGTTTTTACATATTTCAAAACAATTGAAAAAATTACACCACAAGTCTTCATTTTTATGTACGGAATGCAATTGAGTGTAAATTTTTCATACTTGCACATCTAAGTGTGCGCTCGTTTATATTTTTATGGATATTGACAATTTTTCATATTTTTCCATATTAAGGTAGGATTTTACATTGCATTTGTATATTAATGATTGCCATGTTAGAACAATAAGATTCTATCAAGAACAAGTGTTCTCATGCAATCTCAGGTCATTTAGATTACATTATTATTTGACTCTTCCATTAAGAGAATCGTCTATTTCATTTTAGTAATTCAAGATATACAAATTCAGACAAAATATCTATAGGATTGCATTACATTATTATTTGACTCTTCCATCTATTTCATTTTAGTAATTCAAGATATACAAATTCAGATAGAAATATCTTTAGGATTGCCTTTACATTGAAGGTAAATTGCATATTTGCATCATCTAGTTATACTTGGTTTCCTCTTATGCACACTTTTAGTCATAAAAATACAAAATTTCCATTTGTACATTATGGACTTAGGATCATATGGCATGTAAAATCTTAGCCAGTTTTATTTTCTTGTCCAAAAGATAATTTTAGGAGAGTAATTTATTTTAGGTACATTTTTTTTTTGCATAGTATGTTACGTGTGCATGTTTGGTAGATTATTTCATAAACTTACTTAGATTGTTTTTTTTTTAGCGCTCACAAGTCCTCTACAGGGCCTTACAAAAGGTATTGTTTAATTGTTGTCCGAGACGCCAATAGGTATGTGGCCCTGCTGATAAAGGGATTAGGGGGTGGGGATGTTAGTATCACAGGTGCGAAGTTTGACTCTCACATTTTGCAAGAGATAGAGCAAAAGTAGAGTGAAGACAGTTAGAGATAGGACAGACAAAAAAAAATCGTTGCCTAAAATGGCTCGAATAATTATCACTTTCCTTTTCTATCGTTGGTAATTATTTAAATGTTTGATTTATTACCCTAAATACATGGATATGCAAATGCATGTTAGGAAATAAAAAAAATAACTCACAAATTATGTGAGAAGTTTTCCTTAAAAGAGAAAAAATGTACAAGCCCAAGGGCCTTAGTTTAATCTGGCACCGACCCCTAATAGATTAATGGAGACTCTAAAATAATCACAAATGATATTTGCATCTGCATAACAATCAATTAGCTCCCTCGAGATTCACTTCAAGACACTAACTTATTTAGTAGGCCAGTTAGGAGCACAATAAATCGCGTGAGATCACATTTACGAACAAGAGAAATGGATTTGAGAACTCCTTGAATTTGTTCAACCAAAAAAAGAAAAAAGGAACTCCATGAATTTGTAACTTTTTTTTCTTCAATAATTAATACAAGAGGGCATAGCATACCATCTTTTCCCCAAACATATATCTACAAATCCATGCATTTACGGCGATAAATCAATTATTTACTTATACGTAATTATATCTACAAATACTTACTTTCCGTATATATATGCGTACGGAAATAAATCAATTATTACTTTCCGTATATATATACCTCGGCGGTTGTTTTGGGGAGGAAGAAGGAAGCATGGAAGTCAAAGGCTGGTCTCGGGTCCCATGTTCGATCTTCTTGTTCTTCCTCGTCGCGGGGTTTCAACTGTCCGAACAGGCCCGGCCGCTCTCCGCCGCGAAACCCGACCCGAAGGACGCCGCCGCCTCGGCCCGGTGGCTCGTCGCCCAGAATTCATGGGGCGTCCTGAAGTAAAGCATCTGCTCCTCGGTTCCTCGTTCCTCGTCTGTTCCGTCTTTTCCATTGTTTCGTCCTGGTAGAATCCCAAGTGTCGCTCTTTATCGGTCGATCTTGCAGAAATGGCTTTGTCAATCTTCTGATGCGTGAGCTCCTGATTATGCAAAAGCGAAAGTGATCAGATGTGAATGATTCGTCGTTCTTGTATGCGTAACCCCATAAGGCTCAGCTGTCCAATTTCTAATCTGTAATCTCCCGTTAGAGAGGGGAGGAGTGTTCTGCCCGTGGCATGTGAATTTGATGACAAAGTTTGCTCCTTTAGTCTGAAGTTTCGGATGTCGAAGGCGCGATAAAGAGCTGGAATTAGTTGACTTTATCGAAAATGCCGGGGCGGGGCGGCAAGAAAATATCGGATTGGCCGGGTTTGATCCGTTGTGACGTTGCAATTATTTGATTCATGATTCCTCTGTTTATTGATTGACATACCGGGCGGTGGTCGTTTGTGCTTTTAGTTTTGTCTGTGTTCTGTTGCTGTTGATCGAAGCTAATTTGCTGTTTTGATTGCACAGCACGATCTCCAGCGAATTGGGGGGAGCGCCATTCGGGTACTTTTCGCTTGTCCAGATTACAATCTTGCAATTCTGCTCATCCATGCCTCGGTTGATGAGAATTTGTTTCGGTCATCCTGCTTATTCATGCCTCTGTTGCTCAGGAACGTGGTTTCGTTTAGCGACGGGCTACCTAACGAAGGAAAGGGCATCCCGTACTTTTACTTGACACCTCTTGATCCAACCGCGAAGAATGCGGTGAAAGACCCGAGGGCTTCGTTTACAGTTAGCGAGTACCCTATTGGGACCTGTGGAAAGAGAGACCCCATGAATCCCACTTGTGCGAAGATCACGCTAACTGGAGCGGTGTGTTACATTTACTTTAGTTGATTTTGTGATCCAGTTGCTGTGGAAGTTTGTGAATTATCTGAATGTTTGTTCTTCGACTGAAGTGGTGAGATATTAGATGAGATAAGTGCAGAGAAAGGACGTAAGATTTTGGCCACTGGTTGATTAGCGTTTATTTTAGTGTCTTAAGCTTTTAAAAAAGCCATAAGCAGGTCTCGAAATATGCCACATGGAGGCCACGTCGGATTTCCGACAGATGAATTCCGCTGCCAACGAGGAGCACGAGATTAGATTAGGGCTTCTTTAAAACCTTAAAAATCGATCCAAATAAAACCTAAGTCCTCAATTGGCCAACCGTTAAGACGCTAAGTCCTGTTTCTAGCTTATTCCGTCTGCACCGATTTACTCCACATGGCTTTTGTGTGTCCTTCCGCGAAAGTCATGTTCTACTTGCTTTATTCACTAACTGGCATCTGTTATGTATATAATGGCCCACGTAGAAACATATTTGTTGGCCATGAAACTCCATGTAAGAATCTTTTACATTATACTTCTTGCCAAGAAGTATAATTAAGAGAGACTTGAATTATGACTAACAAGTGCTATGTTGGACCTGTAGCTGGATATCTCGAGAACCCGCTTGCACAAGAGTAACGTTTGTACTCTAACGGCCTGTTTGCACCTTTCATGAATTCTGTCTGAGTAGAGCTATTTAGGTTTCTTACATGTACTGACAAGCAAGATTATCAGCTAATCGGTGGGAATTTTTCTTTATGTTTTTCAGCTGAAGCTAGTCAACCCGAAGTCTGAAGAAGCAGAATATGCTAAAATTGCCTTGTTCTCAAAGCATCCAGAGATGAAGGGTAACTAGAGTAACTCGCATTTTTCTAGTGGCTATTTGGTCCTTGGTTTTGATGAATTATATACATCCGCGCGACTTTGATGATATCTGTTGCTAACAATATTGTCCGCTGATGTTGAACTTCATGGTTGGTTGACAGGCTGGCCAAAGGATCACGATTTCCAGGTCTACAAATTAGAAATCAAGAACATATTTTTGATTAATTGGTTCGGTGGTCCAAAACCTCTGACTGTGGAGCAGTATCTGCACCCCAAGTTGTAAGTTCTAGCGTAATCATACATACCACGCTTTGTCAGTCTGAAGGGATAGTGTTCATTCCAACATTACAGTTATCAAGTTATAGTCATAAGGCAAGGGTTTGGCCGAGTGGTGGCAAATTGTTATTAAGACCAAAACGTCCTGTCATCCCCTTACTGTCTTACCCATTTCCCAAATGACTAGCATAAAGAGGGAAGAAAAGGGCTTTGCGGGAATTTGACTGATCACTTTCCCCAATTGATGTTTTGCAGTTGATTTTTTTTCCCGCCATTAATTCGTATTCTTCGATGTGCAGGAACAAGTTCGATTTCATCAGATGATTCTTCATGTGTACGTCGGAGGTATTAAAAATGTGAAGCATAATCTACTGTAAAGTAAGATGAACGTAAATGCCTTGTTGTACCCCCCGACTCTGTTCATACTATTGTCAATGAAATAAAATTGATCAATTGTTTATCCTGCAAAATATATCGCCATTACTCCATCATATTGAAAATAAAAACACATCGTCATACGATGGATAATAAGGCATAAAGAGGATTCCTGCAACGACCATCTGTACTTTCACTCGTTTTAATGTACTCGTTTTAAAGTTGAGATATTTCGTAAACTTGCTCCTGCATGGCGAAACTTGATGTCATTTTGTTACTTTTGGAGCCCTTGTATCTCTCTCTGATTCCTAGATTGCCTTCTCTGGTTTCTGCAATGTTGCTATTTCAATTGTGGAAACTGCAACTACTGGAAAAACTGATTCAACTTGATCGAAAGGAACTGAAAATTCCTTGTTAATGCAAGTGGGAAACTTCATTTCAGGTTTGCTACAGTGTATTTGACGTTCTGTTCAGTTTGCATCGTAGTCAACAAGAAACCCGAATGACCGAACTGCATCGGATGCTTTTATCTTCTTTTGAGAATTGAATCATGTAATACTCCATTGAAATATATCCCAACGCGATCACGGATAGAGATAGGCAAAAGAAGAACGGAAAACTCGCGGGACTTATTTGCTTTGGAACACCCTCATGAACGTTTATTACCTAATGGCATTCCATTATAGACATAATAATGGGTGGTGAAATAGTACACTTATTCGTCTGGGATTAAGGCGTGATTAGATCGTAAAGCCTTAATTATTCTTTGAATTTATGTTGCATCTCGTGACCTACCAGTGCTGTATCAGTAATGTGATCAATGAATTCCAAGAGGAAGACAAAAATTTCAACTTGGTCGAGTGTTTTGTCAAAACTGTCCATGGAAAATATCGCCAGGAGGAGGGGAAAGACTCCTTGATTAGCGGCTTTATTAAGTGCACTGATTTTATGGGCATCTATACTTGGTTCTGCTGCTTCTTCCACACGGACCATGTAGCTGTCATCGGTTCAAGTTACGTCATAGATGATGGAAGGGGACAACCTAGTTCAACTTTTGACTGGAGACTAGTTTTGCTTTTCGGAGGTAATCTGCCATGAACATTTGAAGAAATTGTCCTAGAAAATTCAGCTTCGGATTGTGCGAGATTCATGATTTTAAGATTAAGGTAAACTAGATTTTCACATATCCCGTCGAACCGACCCCAGATAATTTCTTTAAACGCCTCTCTCCTCCCTACTTGAGTTTGTGTCACCTTCGTGCGACACATCCACCAGATGCCGCGATAGACCTCTGTTTTCATGCATCACATGCGCCCTATCAAGTTCAATCGAATGGAGTCAAGCTCCTCCAACGAGCTCTGGCTCTTGGCCGTGCGAAGGAGCTCAGCTTTGTCGAAGCCCCTTGACGAGATCTAGATCAAATTTAACAGGGATGACATGTGATCGGCGGTGGTTGTGATAAAGAAACATGTAGAGGTTGACGTATGGAACTGAAAGCGAGACTGCGAAACTGGTGACGGTGGTACTGATGGTGGTGGAGACGGTGGTTACAATGGCAAGAGTCGAGGACAACTAAGGCGGCATGGAGGCAATCTGCTGAAGCTACTGGGGACAGAGATGAACTGTTGTTGCGTGGTGACATCAAAAGCACGTGAAAACGACTACCACCCAAGTGGACAACAGCCTTCGATATGCTGCTAAAGTCATGGACATAAACTAGTTCGTATACGAGTACTTACTACTTATCATCTCAATAATTTCTTCAACCTCTCTCTCCTCTCTACTAGACTTAGCTTCACCTCTCCATTAACCGCCATCCAGCTGCCGCCATCGACTCCGTTTCGAGCACCGCCATCGTAAGATCGCGGACCGCCTACCTAGTTCAATTGAATCGAGTTGAGCTCCTCCAACATTCTCAAGCTACTTGCCATATGAACGAGCTCACCTCCATTGGAGACCCCTGAATCTATCTAGATCCTAATTAATGGTGAGAACCCAAACCCCGATTGTTGGTGGTGATGATAGATGCATAAATCCAAAAGTGAGGTCAAAACTGTGATGAACTATGATGGTGATATCTGAAAGTGAGACTGTGAAATGACAATAGTGATATCTGATAATGTTGGAGACAGTTGTCATGATGATAGTGATATCTGATAATGTTGGGGACAATGGCAACGATAGCGATGGCGAGCGAATTAACGAACAACTAAGGCAGGCGGAAGAGCAATCCATTGAAGCTATTGGAGAGAGAGAGAGAGAGAGAGAGAGAGAGAGTAACTTGCGATATGTTAGATTCACACATGTTGCATAATGTAAAAATCACATGAATAATTACCAATTATGTGGATGGCAGCCTAAATGATCCTATCAAGATGCAGAATTCCATTGTTTATACGGTTTTTTTCATACCAGCAAATTCCAATAAGTGCTTGTAAGTGCAAAAAAACTGTTGGTGAAAATATCATCGTTGTCTTTATTTTCAAGTAACTTGTAAGAAGCTCACTGACACTTTTATTAAATTATCAACTTATTAAAAATTTGCAAAATAGTAATTTTATACAAATTTACTAACTTTTGTTTGCATAACTTACCAACACTTCGAATCTACAAACTCTTATATGAAATCACAACTCTAAAATTTGAGCGACTTACCAACTTTTGTCAAATTAAATTACCAACTTATTCTCTTGTTTGAGTTATTTACCAACATTTAAATTTTTTTTAATTTACCAAACTACATTTCTTACAAATTTTATTTGCCTTGGTTAATAATTCATTACATTTACACCACATAGTATTGGATGATCAACTGTCATTAAAGTGACTTGCCGACATTTATTTGATTTTTTAAAATTTGCCAATTTTTGTTACGTTTTACAAACTTTTATTTGCATTTCTTACTAACGCCTTTTTTTTGGAAATTAGCAACCTTAATGAGAGTGACTTGCCAACTTTTTTCTGATTAACTACCAACTAGTTTTGCATTATCAGCTCTCATTTGAGTTAATTACAAAGTTTATGTTTCTTTTAATTACTCACTTTTCTTATCTTTAATAAATTTTATTTATCTTTCTTAGTGATACTTACATTTACCAACTTTTATTTGAAATTAGTACATTTAATTTAAAGTGATATATCGATTTTTTTCAATTAAATTATCAACTAATTATCGGTACAACACTTATTTGAGATCATTACCTACGTTTATTTGATTTTATTAAATTCACCAACTTTTTTTGGGGTTACTTAATTGGGAATAAAGTTGGTAGTTTTATATAATGGTTGGTGAATTTAAGGCGTTGGTGAAAAACTTATTGATAACCTAATGGGAAAAAAACCGGTAAGTCACGCAAATAAATGTTGATAAATTCATATAAGAAATATTAAATTTATGATTTTGGATGAGAGACAAATAAAAGTAGGTAACTGAAATTTGAAAAAAAAATTAAATAATCATTAGTGAGTAACCTAAATCAGAGTCAAACATTTGGATGATAATGTCATCAAACGGTGGTAATTTATAAAATGCAATAAAGAGTTAGTATTTTCATCAAAGAGTTGGTAAATTATTCAAATGTTACCGAAAAGTCAGACAATGGGTAACTTTTTAATCAACAATTTCTCTACGCTGATCAACTCTTTCAAGAAATCTATCAGCGCAAAAAAAAAAAACGAAACTCTTATCTCTAACAAAGCTGTAAAAAAATTTTGGACGGTGAGGATGAATCTGTCATCTGACAATTCACACCGCATCACTTGCATCGAACGGTAGAGATACGGCAGAGACTTTTTTTTGCGGTGCAAGGAGGGGGGGGCAAGCCACCAAGAAACACCCCTCAAAATTATCTATAAAGCTAAGCTAAGCCAAGCCCTTGGCTCCATGAGAGTGATCTCTCTGATCTTTCTCTCTCACTGAGAGAGAAAGATCAGAGAGGCACAGAAAACTTGAACGTATTTTCTTGCTTTTTCCCTATCTTTCAACGCCGAAGCATCATCATGTCCCCGCTTGCCCTCTTTCTCCTCCAACCCCATCATCATGATTGTTTTCTTGCAGCTTCCTTATATGTTTCACGACCCACAACCAGAGTCTTCCACGAAATCATCACCACCATCATTACCAGCAGCGACAAAGGAGAGAGGGGTCAATGAAGGGAAACGCAAAAAGGGAGGTCAAAAGCTAAGCACTCGGTAAAGAGGAAGGGCGTCAAGAGCTTTTGAACGAAAAACGGACCCTCACCGTCTACAAGGAAAGGGGTGCTCTCGAGAACTGCTTCATTTCTCTGCTCTCTCTCTCTCTTTTTTGGGGAATCAAGCGTCTTGGTCCGACTGTTATCGCTTGTGTTGATAGATCTGTAACTTTCATCAATCACTATCTGCAAACATGTACATGCCCCTTAGAGTAGCTACAGATGTATGTGCATGGGGCGTTCTTTCTGCTCAGTTTGACCTAAACTACCATGTGTGTTCTCTTGTTCTTATCATTTCTTCCCCCTCCTGGTGGAGGGCTTTAGGGTTTGCAGTAAGAAAGTACCAGTGTATGTTAGCTCAAGGATCTGTCTGCTAGGAGAGATCATTTGTGTGTGTCTACTCTTGAATGGATTGTGTAAAGCAACCTTCTCTTCATGCTTTGCGTTATCGTTTCCTCTTTGTCCAGACAAGATCTGGGTGTGAATGAGCTGGGAAAAGAAAAAAGGCCATACCTGATTATTGAGAAAAGAGAGCGATTATCGACCGCCGTTGACAATAGGAAGCGCACTTTAGGTTGGTAAGTCGCAAGCTCACGCAATACATCGTTAATTTCATGGACCAAATGAGGCGCGGGCCAGTGAAAATAAGGAATCACTAATGAATGATCCGACTCGAACCCTAATTCGAGATCTGAGGAGTATTCGGAGGACTTTACAGCGTTAAATTTATGGAGCAGGCGGCTATGCCCTAAACATAAGTGGAAAAAGAGATATTTTCTGATGAGCTCGCGTGTCTTTCGTTTGGTGGATTAGTTTGGGACTAAAGTTAATTTTCCTTTCAGATTCTATTGGTCCCAATTAGACATATATCTTGTTTTGCAATATCATGATTACAAATGACAAATTTCTAAGTGTAACATATATATAATATATTAAGAAATGCACACACTTTTGGGTGTAAACAATGCAACAAAATTTTTTTGTCAGGGTAGGAATGGGGTCGGTTTGGTGGATAACCAATGAGTTTATGTGTGTGGATATTGGACATATAATACAGGTTCAATTCCCCTCGTCACTAAGTTTAGACAACTTCAGATTTGGCCACTCACCTAGGGGTGAGCATGGTCCAGGTAGGCGGTTCACACTCTAAAATCGGGAACCACCCACTAAGGATAGGTTCTGAAAAATTGAAATTGGAAACCGCCCGTTGGTTTCATGGATCCATTCGAGAACCGGACCGCCGGTCCGATCAGGTTCCTAGGTGGGTCCATGGAACCGGTCCCACTAGCCAAGGACAGAGACGGAAAGATAGAGACGGAGACGGAGATAAAGAGTCGGAGATGGTGAGGTGAGCATCGACCGAGAAGAGTGAGAGAGTGAGAGTGAGCATGAGCGTGAGGCGAAAGCAAAAGAAGGTATTTCTCGACTCAGTGTGAGGCTGTGAGCATCGAGCGAGTTAGGTTTAGTTTAGTGATTTAGGATTTTTCTTTTATTTTAAAAAAATTAAACATTAAATAAATATATTATCTTTAAAAAAAATTTAAAAAAATTATATTTATTATTATATTACCGGTTTGATCCGGGTGGGCGGATGAGTGGTTCCACACCTAGAATTGGGAACCAGACCGGTTCCCACCAGTTCCAAAAAATTGGAACCGAGAATCGGATCGACTCCCTTACGAACCACTGATCTGGGCAATCCAGGTGGTTCCTGATTTCACTCACCCCACAATTTCGTTTGCATGTTTACCAATTCACAAGACTAGAAGAGAATTTCATCATTTTCATAGACTCATTAAAATGGGTCATAAACTCATTTCTTAACTCATATATCAGTAAATGAGTCATAAATAGGTTAATTATATTCAGTAAATGGGTCATAAATGGATATAAATATAATATGGCTGTTAAATGGGTAATAATTGGGTTTTCAACTTATTTAAACTCAACCTCATCTATCTCGCCCTCACTCAATCTCGCACTTACTCACTTCGCACTCTCATCTTAGTTTGGATATAAGTTTTCCTAGATTGAGTTAAATATGGAAGTGTTTTAGCAATATGGGTTAGATCGAATATATGTATGGTATGGATTGGGTCGGAAGAGGTCATTAGATTTGCATTACATGGAAATGAGTCAAAACGGGTTAGATGAGTCTATTTGGGTCAGATTATTTCCGACCCGACCCACCCATTTAATAAGTCTATATTTTCATGAACTCAGGTTTTCTTGAGTGCAACGTGTGATTTGAATGTTATTTTGCCTTAGAAGAAAATTAGATAGAATGAGCCCATAACAGTCGTTCAAAACCAAATTTCCTTCTTGTTGTTCAACTCTTGTTTTTTCTTTTTTCGCTCGGTTTATCACAAATAGCAATTGATAGTACTAAACAAAGTTTGACAATGATGGACACGAAATCACCTATGGTGCATTTGGTAACTATTCTGTTCCGGAAAACAATTTCTGTTCAGAAATGATTCTTTTTTATTCCGTGACTGGGAATAATTTCTAAGCATTTGAAGGGGTTTGATAACTGCCCAAAATTTCTATTCTCGGAATAGAAAAAGAACAAAAATGCGTTTGGTAATTGCACAAAATTTCTTTTTATTAATAATATTTTGAATTTTTTAATATTTCTTTCTTCTTCTTTTTTTTTTCTTCTTCCCCTTCCTTGGCCATGGCCAGGTCGCCGGCACCAACAACCGACCACAGGCCAAGGTTGGCGAGGACGTCGCGGCCCTCGCCGCCGCCCTCGCCAGATCCGGCGAGGGCGGCTAGCGGCCTGGGCGAGGGCTGCCCTCGCCAAATCTAGCAAGGACGGCCCTCGCCCAGTTCGCGAGCCGCCCTTGCTAGCCCTGGCCTATGGCAAGTCGCTGGTAACCGGCGTCCGGCTACAGGCCAGGAAGAAGAAGAAAAAAAAAATTTCTTTTCCATTTCTGATTCTTGTTTCCAGAATTAAGAAGTAACTTTTTTTTCTTCTTGATTCTATTCCAAAACTAATTCTAAGAACAAATTTGTGCAAATTTGTGCCTGGGAACAAAAAATTTACCAGACAGATTTCTGTTCCAAAAATGATTCTGGAAACAAAAAAATATAATCAGTTACTATTTGGCCAGTTACCAAACGCAGCCCTAGTCTTTTATGGGAGGGAAATAATCAAAAGCATTCTAAATATATTGTATTAATTCAGTCCCAAATCTTTTAATTTGGGCAATTTAATCTTTAACCTTTTAACAATTTGCCAATGTATTCCTTCCAATAAATTTTGGCCAGAAATTGATAACTTAGATGCCGGACGTCCTACGTGACAAGGACACGTAAGACGGACAGCGTTGACATGGACAATTTTTGTAATTTTTCTGAATTTGTTATTAATTTTCTTTTCTTTTTTTTTTCCTTTTAAAAAAGAAAGAAAGAAAGAAAAAAATAATGACGGCATTTGAGGAATAAGCATCAACTAACTCTATGCCAGCAATCGCAGAATAAAAAAGTTTATAAAAAATTGCAAAAATTGTCCATATCGACGTAGGACAGCCGACATCCATGTCATCAAACTACGGTCAAAATTGACCGGAAAGACTTCATTAGTAACCCTGTCAAAATGGGTCATGGAACCATTTTCTAACCCATATTAATTTAATGGGCTGAATTATTATATGAGTTAACTATATTCTCAAAATAGATCATAAATGGATTTAAAATAATGAAACCTTAAATAATATTAGTGTTAACTGGGTACATAGCTTATTTAGACCCAACCCACATTTATGACTCTCTCTTGCCTTTACTCTCTCTTGCGCTCGCTCCCTCTATGCTCTCATCTCAGTTTGGATATAAGTTTTCCTAGACTATATTAAATATAGAAGTGTTTTAGCAATATAGGTCGAATCGGGTATGAGTCACTTGATTTATATTACATGAAAATGGGCCAATTCGGAACAGATCATTTTCGACTCGACTTATTCGTTTGACGGGTCTATTCATTGGCAAATCATTAAAAGGTATAGAATTGAATTTGCCAAATTGAAAGGTCCAAAACTGAATTGGCCGCCGTACAATAAGCTTAAGAATTTTTTTTTTTTTTGGTAATTACTATTCGTGGGATGGCACTAAAATTGGGCTCCTTTGACTCTTTGAGAACCCAGCTACAGGAAAAGAAGAAGCACTCTGATCAAGTGCCGCACAAGATTTCCGTTGGATTCAACTCATAAATAGGTTACAAGAAATCCTTGATTGACGTTTTGTCTTCAATCTTTTTGCAACTTGATTGCTCTGATTAAAAAGCTACGAGAAATGAAGAGAGCTTTTTCAGACATGAACACTAGGACTTTGATAAAGGCGACAATGACAAGAACGACGCCGAAGATGGAAAGTATAGGGCGACGATCGGAACGGGCAGATGGTTCTGTGAGATTGAGGAAGAGCGCGCTAAAAAACACCATTGATTTTCGCTGGAAAATCAGCCTTCGACGTTCGAATTTCCCATCCCTTAGCTGCCTCCTATAGATGCCGCGCAATCGAATTGAAGAATAATCAACATGCTCGCTCACGTGAGTTCTCGAAAGCTTTCTGCGATTATAAGGAGGGTGTCTCAATTTGCCGGCATCTTTGCATCCGCGAAGCTCGTCTCCCCCGCCCCACGGAGATCTCCCGTGGGGTTTCAACGGGCCGGAAGAGTTCGGGACTTGGGCACGGGTATTCTCGGAAGCGAAAACGAAGGCTTAGTAAACAAAGGGACCTCAGTAAGCAGCCGATGCGCACGGTTCAAAGGCGCAATAGATGTTTCACATATATCGCAGCAGCAATGCCGCCACCCTCAAAGTGGTCCTTAGGTGCACGCACCAAACCATCGCCCCTTCATCGATTGGCTACTGGTCATTCAAAGCACCCCAACTCCCGTTTGCATAGTAGCAAAACCCCATAATTTTTCATTATGTTTTTTCATGTGTTTTTTTATCCCGCTTTTTCTTATTTTCTGATTCTTTAGTTTTTTTGTAGGGGTTATTGATCAAGGGCAAGTTGTGGCGGCTTCGAACTCCGGTCCAGCTCGAAGTAGTAGTTATAACTAAAAGTCACTTCCACCAAAGCTGAACGGTTGATGTGTTCGTATGTTTATATATATTTATTTATTTATCCGAAGCAGCGACTTTCACCACCTTCTCAAAAACGAACTCGGCACGATTTCGGAGGCCGCCATGGCGGACAGCTAAGCCAAGATCCGGAAGAGAGGGTCTCGAGGGGAGGGCCGGGCCGGAGTCGGATAGCCGCCCGGATCGGGGCTCGGAGAGACCCCGTCTGGCCCCTACATTCCCGGTTCGGTACGAGCTATTATAGTGTTTTACTTAGTGCCGTGCACCTAATCCAAACTTCTTCTTTTTCATGACGCTATTTCCTCCGATAAAACTCGTCTTGAAACCGGTATAAAAGAAACGATCACGGGCCCCGCATATGGCGGTTCATGGTTAGTAAGGTCGGGGATCGGGCCGTGTCGTGCATCTTATCCGTGCACGTGGTCCGTTCCTCGATCTCATGAAACTTTTTTTTTTTTTTTTAAAGACGACTTCTTGATTCGAATATGAGAATCGATTTCATTGGTCGAGTTCGGGGTTCGGGGTTTGTCCAGATATTTGGTTGGCTTTTTGCGAAATTCCTCTCGCTTGATATTTCTTCGCAACGTGTGGCGCGCATGCCCTCCCCAAAGGAAATTTTACAGATAAATGTCGAATAAAGCAATTATTTCTTTTAATTTCGCCAAGAAAAAAGGGCAAAAAAAAAACTAAATAAAAATAAAGAGGACGGAACGAAAATGCAAACATATATACAACGCACGGACGCACTCGCTTCTTCTTCTTCGTCTTCTTCTCCGAGCAACCGGTTCTCATTTCCTCCTCCTCCGCCACCGCTTCGGGTTGCAGAAAATCGGTGCCCGCCGTCCATGGCTCTTCAAGCTTGTTCTCTCGCCGTCGGCGTGCCGTCCCTCGCGCCGCCGCGTCTCCGCCGCTCCCGCCCCGGCCCCTGCCCCGTCGTTCGAGCCAAAGGTACGGGCCGTTTCTCTTCGTTCTCTTGTTTACGCAGTACGTGGTATCGGCAGAGGGGGAGAGTAAAATTTCCGACTTTGTGCTCGGAGCGTTGGTTTTTTTTTTTTTTTGGCGGTTCGCTTAACGCGGCTTGGTTTCTGCGTCGCCGTAGTGCCGCCGTGTTCAATCGGATAGCTATCTGCAGAAGATGAGCTCCCGTAGTTTCGCTCATTTTTCGCTTGCGATTACGGCATACGTGCTTTGAGCTTCGCTTTTCTCTGTTGCGAGGTTGCTGAATTCAGAACGTTGGCCTCATGACCCGAGGATTTGGAGTGCTTTTTTATTTTTTTGGTTACCTTCTTCGTTGATATATGAGCTGATCGATTTTGTAGCTCCGCGTGTAGCTCTGTGACTGTGAAATGTGATCGCGGTTATAAAAAGTGATTGCAATGATAGTTTTAGGTGTGGTTGGGAGAGGTTTACTCTCAATTTTGTGGTTGTTCCATTTGTAGCTTTGTGAAGATGAAATTTGGTCAGAATTGTGAAACACGTTAGCTAATGCAATTTTCTATCTAGGATTGAATTGCCTTTGTTTATCCATGTGGACTCTTGAGGTGTGGCTGACGAGAGTTTCTTACATCCGATTTTCGATTCTCTTGTTGAAATTTTAATCAGTAGAATTGGGGGAAAGGAGAGGAGAGTCACAGGGGTGAGGGGGAAAAACTAGGAGAGAGAGGGAGCTCTAATCCGGATCAAAACACGAGCCCACCTTTTACTCTTAATTTTGATGAGTAATTGCTGTGACTAATCGATTCTCGTTCCCTCATAGTAACTCCTGACCAATGCACGTGTCTTGGCTTCAATAGTCAAAACTCAAAAAATTGCTGCTTTTCCCCATTTGGTTTGTTTCTTCTTCCACTTCACTTCGCACTAACAAAAATTTTATGGGTTGTTTTCCAGTGGAGCCAACAGAGAAGTCTGTTGATATAATGAGAAAGTTCTCAGAGCAGTATGCACGCCGATCAGGAACATATTTCTGCGTTGATAAGGGTGTGACTTCTGTTGTTATTAAGGTATGTAGAACCTATGTATGCGGCTGGTTTTTATGATTCAAGTGCATTTTCTTTTTCTTTACCCCTTCATTTGGGTTTGAATTCTGAAAAGTTTTCGTCTGTGTATTCTCCTAGTGGGTCGATCAGTGTTTTCATCTGTCTGTAATATACCTGTTATGCTATGTCTAGGCCTTCATTGTAGTCGCCTTCTGATTACTCTCCCAAAACAAGAAAAATGAAAGTGCCAAGTGGTGCCATACACCATTTATCCATCGTTGCCAGTGCCAAACTACCGTTTGTGCACTGATATCAGGAATTAACTAGGTCCTAGTCTTCTTCTGGCAGCTTGTCACTCCGTGTGAGCTTAGATTAGTGAAACACCTCTGTGGAATTCAATTGTGTGATGCTTTCATCTGCTGCATCCTACTGTATGAATGAGTTCTTCAATTTCACCGATTTATTAAAGCTCATCACGTGCTCTGTAATTGCTACGAGTTTGTTTTGCCTATTATCTCAAACGAAAACAAAGAATTTTGTAGTTTTAACGTGCGTCATGGCCAATTTGAGCTTCAATTGGAACTCGGCTTGAGTAATAGGTAGGCTTCTATGTAGTGTATAATTCAATATGAGCATCTGCTACTGAATACAAAATTGAAGATCTTGATAGATGGAAGTTTACCATTTAGAGATGCAGTAACTATGACGGGTAAAGCATCATTCGCTCTTCTTTACTAAAGAGTAAATTATCTACTTGGAATGTAGTGTCACCACTCAAACCCAACTCTTTGAAATCTGATTATTTATATTCCTTTTAAAAATCTGAAGTTGCTTTTCCAAGTTAATTAATAAATTTCTTCTTTGCATCAGTTAATTACTTCTTGAGATAAAGAAATCGGAGCTCAACTATGGGGGAAAATGTGTGATTAAAAGATTGTGGATCTAACATCAGAGATGAAACAATGTGCACAGAAATCCCTAATTCTATGACTATCATCTGTTACTTCCTACATTATGAGTTTGTTTAGGGCTTTCAAGTGCTCGTTTGCTAATGCAGAATCTATGCATAGTTAACTCCTATTGGAATTTCAACAGGGACTGGCTGACCATAAAGACACATTAGGTGCACCGCTTTGCCCATGTAGGTAAATACATGCGAAACAACCTTGCCTTCTTGTTTAGATTGTTTTATTACTTCAACATCCATTGGAAATGTATATGAAGAGATATACATAGTCGGTGTTATAATTTAAGGTTCAACTCACTGAACCACAGGCATTATGATGACAAAGCGGCAGAGGTAGCTCAAGGTTTTTGGAATTGTCCTTGTGTTCCAATGAGGGAGAGGTAGAGTATATTTTAATGCTATTGACTGATTTACTGTATATTAATGATGTGAAAGTTTGCAACGTTTTTCTGGTTATGTTTATCTAGATAAATCTTCCTCTTCTGTTGTAAAACCAAGCTGGTTGAGAATGGGAGTTGTCAATTGATTGCTGACAGTATTAATTGACTATGATGGTAGAATGGTTTTTTTTCCTTCATTTGTGTGAGAATATAATGGATACTTGTGCTGCCTTACAGTAGGTATAAACTTAATAGGATTAATTTAGATTTGTAATAATGATGTGAATTGACTTTATAACCTTGACCAGCATTGGATTTATTCCCTTATAAGAATTTTTTGTTTCCTGGACTATTTAGACTATCATCGTGTTATAGAACAATCCAAATTAATTAGCAATCACGTACCTTTTTTGTAATTTTTTTCTTTTTGGGGGGGGGGAAGGCTAAATCCCCCAGAATTTGCATACCTCACTTAAGTTGGTCTCTGTGGACCTGGTGTCCATTGTCATAGGAGAGAGATGAACGTTTTCACTAGGATTCTTTGATGGCGCATGAGATTATCCATGTGACTTTTCCCCGGAAATAGGTCATGGTTTTCTCTCTGCTCAAAATTTATAACCTTGCTGGTTACTCTGGCAGGAAAGAGTGCCACTGCATGCTCTTCCTCACTCCAGAGAATGATTTTGCTGGCCAAGATCAGGTGAATTATCTATGTTACTAAGCACGTGTTTTGAATCAGTTGATAAATTAGCTTGGTATCGTGAGCTCATATGAGAGTGGATGGATAAAAATATTGAGGACATTCTAACTTTCAGATGCTATTCTTTCCTTCTGTGCAGGCCATTTCGTTGGAGGAAATCAAGGAATCGACTGCAAATATGTGATGCTATGCCATGTAGTTGACTTGTTGTGAGATCTCAACCTGATTTCGAACCCTTGTTAGAAGAAAATGGACATACTACTGAGAACGAAAAGGAGCAGCAGTTTTTAAGCCCTCCATTGTATATTTTGTATGCTAGCCTACTGTCACACTTGTTATCTGAAAATGGAGCTTTGGTTTCCTCTCACAATTTTCTTAACACTAAAATCTGGTTGAAGACTTTTTCTGGTCTCCACTCTCAAATTTGGTTTGTGGTGAACTTCGAAGCACCATATAGCGCGGCATAGACATACTCTTTGGTTATTGAGGATCACTTCCTATCGTCGTGGATCATGATGAGCTAAATGCTGTTGGGTTAACTGTCTGACCGATGATCAATTGGCTGCAACTGATTGCATCACTGGATCGGATTAAATCAGTTGACAATATGCATTTGGCTGGACATATGGTTGACGTCGCTTCGAGGATTGAATCCTTCTTTTAAATCAGTATGCTTTGAAGATTGAACTTTGCTTATTAAAACAAAAGGGTTTTTTCGTTCTCAAAATCTGAAAGCCCATGGTGTGCAAGTACTCAAACATTTGCAATGGATGTCATTATTCCTGTGCAGTTTCTGCAGGTCCTTCAACAGTTGGCTTAAAAATTCAGAACAGACTTTTTGCATGAACTCAAGACGATTTGCTACAGTTTTCAGGATCAACCCTACTCTTTAAATTGTCTAATTATGCAAGCTCATATTTGTTACAAAGTAATGCTCTGATGCGCCGACTATAGTTCTTCGATCCATTTGAATTGCTAGATTTTTTTTTTTTTTTGGGGGGGATCTCATGTAAGATGTGACGAATCGTGAATGATCTGCTGATGAATTTATTTGGTCCCGTGCACCGGCATGCAATTGCGTCTTGCAATAACTTCCCCATTATTTGTTGCTGAGAACTTTTCGATCTTCCGCGTGAGGAGACATGATGGGGGCGTTGAATTTGAATCCTTTCCGAGCTGGGAAAATTACCAAAAAAGTCATAAACCTTTTACAATTATGTCAATTCAGTCCCAAACTTTTTTTAGCCATTTTCAGTCCTAAACCTTTTGGTAATCACGGGCAACATCCGCCCTATCCCATTACTTTTTGGCCGGGTAGGTGGCGTGGCATTATTTTAATAATTTTTTTCCTTTCTCTTTTTTGTTTCTTTCCTTCTTCCCCTTGGCCGGACCAGCCAGGGGAGGCTCGCCGGCCATGGGCGAGGTCGACTTCGCCCAGATCTGGCGAGACCTCGCCGTCACTGGGCGAGCTCGACCTCGCCCATGGCCGGTGAGGTCGAGCTCGCCCATGGCCGGCGAGGTCGGCCTCGCCATGGCCGGCGAGCCTCCCCCTAGCCGGTCTGGCCAGGGGGAAGTAGGAAAGAAAAAAAAAGAGAAAGGAAAAAAATAAAAATAAAAATAAAATAATGTCACGTCAGCCGGCCGACGTCCACGTCAGCTTCGACCTGCCAAAAGTAGCCGGATAGACTGAATTAGTACAATTGCAAAAGGTTTAAGACTGAAATGACAAAAAAAAAAAGGTTTAGAACTGAATTAGCACAGTTACAAAAGGTTTAAGACTTTTTTTGGTAATTTTCCCTTTCCAAGCTAAAAGCAGAAGGAAGAAGTGAGGGTCGTGATGTGTTGGAAGGCACTCTTGGAGGTTGCGGCTCTTTAACTCCGCCAAAGCTGTATCTCCCTGTCCTTAATTAATGTCTACCCCCAGAAATCTACTATATAGGCCTTTGCACGGCTGGCAGAACAGATTGACCTAAGTAAAACTATACCGATGGAGTATAAGAAAATGATCATTTTGGAAAATTAATTCGAAAAATTAATCGGCAGATGTCGAATATTAGCTTACACGTAGAAAAAATATTCGTCTCGTCACTTTATAAGTAAAAACCATGCGAGGAAGGAGATCGCCGTGCCTTAAACCCGAAAATTCTTTATCTGCCTACATAGTGAATGAGTTCCTTTGAATTGGATCTGAGTGCGCTGTGAGAACGACTACATTACGTAGTTAAGCCAATGGGTTCTTATGAGAATCCTTAATCGAGCCCATTTAGAGCCTTATTAGCTTCGATAGCATTAAAAATAAAGGCAAAAGCCACTAAATATCCTAAATTATATCAGTTAAGACACATTTATCATAGATTTTTTTTCTATAACACCAAAAATCTTTAACTTCCGTCAAAGTTCAATTAATGAGAACCGTTGAAAATCCGCCTAGATGGACGAAAAAAGAGAGTAAAATGACGTTATTTTGACTGAAAAATCATATATATATATAAATACAATTTTGAGATTTTTTTACGTCACAAGAAAAATTTTAGAGTAAATGAATCACAGGTATTGTTTGAGGTTTATGATGTCAAAAACATAGTTCGTGATAAATTTGTTTGATATGTTTATAATGTTTGGGGTTTTTCCGTGGATTCTTCACTAGAAACAAGATGCAGATATGTACCCATTAGGCTAGTAAACTATTATTCAGCCAAAGTGAAAAAGATGGAGAGAGAAATAAAGCGAAGATGTAATGTCTATCGGTATCTTCCAATCATCTGATCCATAACAAAGGCACTTTCCACTACCGCACCAGCAAGAAGAACAGGGGAGCGAGCGCGTCCCACTTCCCAGTTCGACTTGTTTACCTGGGTACCCCATCTTTACCCTAATCTCACCACAAAAGTACTGTTCCTCCACTCACTAATTTTCCACTGCAAATAACTTTTTTCTTAGAGAAGAAAAAAGGGCAAGCGGAAACAGGGGACGATCTTTCCTTTCTGGCAAGAAGATGAAGAAGAAGAAGAAGAAGAACAGGAGGAGCTGAGCTGAGCTCTGGTTCTCAAGAACAACAGCAAACAACAAAACCCAGAAGCATTGCATTGCCCCGGCAAAGACACCAAGAACCCAACAGCCTTCGAAAATGCGAAAAAGTGAATAATCATATCATTATCATCTATAATGCCTTTTAACTCCAGTACAAACGCCGTGTATACATATTGCCTTTCCAAAAATAATTGAATTGCAAAAACGAAAATCCCATTCCACTGCGTGCTTCTCCCGTTTCTCGCTCATACCCACCAAAAGAAAACAAGAATCGACAGTGTGATCAAGAAAGGAGGACAGATCTAGTTGACAGCATCACACCTTCGCCTGATCTCGCCTCTCCTCCCGGTTTGGACCCCGTAGAGGCTCAGCTTCTGGATCGCCCTCGCGAAGTCCCTGAAGAACCTGTCCTGATCCTTGGCGTACATCTCCACGAACGGCCTCGTCCTGGGGTCGCCATACAGCCCCCGATCCGACGCCAGCAGGCCCAGCCCCTTGGGCAGGTTCTGGTAGTACATGTTGTCGAACTTGTTGGGGGTCATCACGTCGTTGAACACCGACAGCGTGGGGTCCTTGCCGTAGCTGGCGCAGGCCTTCTGCAGCCCCTGGGCGAACCTCGGGTTGTAGCTCGGGTCGAACGCGGAGGACTTGCTGAAGCCGTAGATCCCGGAGCTGAACTCCTTGCAGTGGGAGAGGCCGACGGTGTGGGCGCCGGCGAGGGCCACCATCTCCTGGGCGGAGAACCCGCGGGAGGCGAAGAGGGAGAGGAGGTCCGACACGGTCATGTTGGGCCGCGGGAGGAGGCCGGCGACGAGGGAGGCGCGGGAGATCCGGGTGTCGCGGCGGCCGAGGGCGACGTCGTAGTAGGGGCCCCCCAGCATGGTGACGAGGTCGCGCGCGGCGACGACGAGGATGTCGGAGCAGGACACGGTGCCGGGGCAGGCGAGCTCGAGGGCGGTCTTGGCGCGGACGACGAGGTCGAAGGCGTCGCCGGGGAGGGAGAGGTTGATGTCGGCGTCGCGCTCGGGGGGCGGGGCGAGGGGCGCGGCGGAGAGGAGGATGGAGGCGTCGCAGCCGGTGGCGATGCAGTCGTGGAAGAGGACGCGGAGGGTGGCGGCGGCGGTGGTGGGGGTGGAGATCTGCTTGGCGGTGACGGTGTCCTGGATGATCTGGAGGAAGCCCGGGCAGGACTTGGCGTAGAAGTCGGCGGTGAGGCGGGAGGACGCGGGGCCGGCGGAGGAGACGAGGAGGACGGCGAGGAGGAGCGGCGCAATGCGGAGGAGGGCCGGGCGGTGCTGCGGCGGCGGCGGCGGCGACGACATTGTCGCTAGAGCTTCGGCTTCGGGGGGAGAGAATGGAGAGGAAGGAAGACAGAGGGAGATGGGAGGAGTGAGAGTCGCGCACTGGGGAGTGGGTTTTGCTAATGTGGGGAGGGCGTGCACGTGGCAGTCGGTGCACCGCCAATCACGGTGTGCGTGCTGGACAGCGGGCCCCACTCTTGACAATCATTTTTATGACACGGAGAAATTCCTTGTGAGTAGTAGGGTACAGCATTATTTGTACAGTGAAACCTTTTATTTTGGGAAAATTTCAATTAAGGTACAGCATTATTTGTACAGTGAAACCTTTTATTTTTGCTACGGTTTTGCTTTTCACTGTAATTTTATACCATCTAAATACATATTTATAATCATTTTCATTTCGTTCCGCCTTAACAAACGCAACATGATGCTATAGAACGAAAAACAAAATTTGCCTCAGAGAACGCTTCACGAAGTTTGGTGCTTAATTACATGGCAAAATGTGATAACACAGAAAAACTCTAAAGTCGAGCCATTTGATCACTGGGCGATGCAGACCATATAACTCGATTTCAACTCCGACTCATATGGTCGCCGGTCGTATTGCAACTGCAAGTTTACTGAAAATTTTATTCAAAAATGCTCCTAAAATATTCACTTAATGCTTACAGATGTTAGTGATCAGTGTCTTAAAGCTGACGCGTTTTGAAACATGGAAGGGATGGTCGGTTAAAGAGCGTTGTGACGGTGATGTAAAATGCTCGAAAATATTCTTCAAGAATTGCAATCTTTCCTTTTCCAAACCAAAGTCATCATCGAAAAGTTATGTTCAAAAAGTTTCTTCGCGCATCAAAATCACAAAATCGAAAAAAGGAGAACGCTCCTAAGCAATTTAATAGAAGCTTTTTCTTGTGCATCGAATCTACATTCAACTCACGCAAATCGAAATTAATTGAACTTGTTAAATTTCGCTTGAAGTTTAATTAATCTAATTTCGTGGGGCGCGTGCGCATTAAAATGAGCTAACAAGAACGAGCGACAGACATGGAAATCTACATAAATCGTTTCTCAGGTGGAGTGTTTTTTTAATTTTAATTTCTGATTATTTTGATCGGCTTCTCGTGTTGGGTGACGGTGGTTGTAGGGGGCGGCGCGTGGGGGGCTACGGTGGCGCGTGCGGTGGGGGGTTCGTGAAAAGCAAGTTTACTGAAACCGCACGGGGAACGAAGAAGAATAAAGTAAAACACCAGCTGGATCAGAACGCGCGCGAGACGGAGGAGCCTAAATTGGCGGGAGAGCGTGCAGGTACATGTGAGTGTGATTAATGAATATTTAGTCTAATCCCCCCCTTAATTAACTAATAAACCCGACCATTATAATGAGAAATATGGTAAACAAAATAAAATCTTTTTATTTGAAAAGCTGGTCAAGGATCACCGATTTCGGTCACGAGTAGATATTTCCTTTCGTATCTTGTTGCCTAAAATCATTGTAGATATGTCGGTCAAGCCCATTTCAGTGTTTTTTTCTTTTTGAGATATATCTATTAGAAGTCCTAAAACATATTATTAAAGTGCATTTGAGTTCTAAAACTTGTAAAAAGTGCAATTAAGTCATCAAACTTGTCATGTTGATTCAACTGAGTCCTGAAGTTAACACTGTCAAACTGTCTAACAGAAAATGCTGACATAGCATATATAAATCAAATTCTCTCTCCTATGTAGCATTTATTATTATTTTCTTATTCAAATCTTATTTAAATTAAATAAAAAACTAAAGAAAGCTGAATATTTATTTACAAAAACAACAATAAAAAAAAGAAAAAGAAAGGGGAGTCCTTCTCGTTGGGCATTGCCGTTGTCGCCCATCACCAAAGTGGATAGCGAACCTGCCCTGGGCAAGGGTGACTAGTGCTCGCCCGCGACCCTCGCTAAGACCAAGCAAGGCTCACCCAGATCTCGGCGAATCCGATCGTCACTCAGTCCTGGCGAGCGTCGTTGACCCTTGTTAGGGGCTGACAAGGCTCACCAAGCCTTGACAAGGGAGGGTGACGCCCAGATCCGAGCAAGCCATGCTAGTCCCATGTGAGGACCAGGGAGGCGTCACCCAAATTTGGCCAAGCCTCGTGAGCTCTAGGCAAGGGCCGGCAAAGGTCGGGCACCCTTGCCTAGGCCCGGCAATGGGCGGGGACAATGGCAGCGCCCTACCGGCGAGGCCTCCTCTTCTTTTTTTTCATTATTGTTTTTTAAAATAAAATTTTAGCTTTTTTTACTTTTTTTAACCTAATTTAGATAATATTTAAATAATAATAATAATAATAATAATAATAAATGGCACGTAGTGGCGAGAAATTGATTTTAAAATGCCATGTCAGCATTTTCCGTTAGACAAATTAACGGTGTTAACTTTAGGACTCCGTTACACCAACTTGACAAGTTTTAGGATTTGATTGCACTTTTTGCAAGTTTTAGGATTCAATTGCACTTTAACGACAAGTTTTAGGATCTCTAGTAAACATCTCCGTTTCTTCTTTTGGGAATGATTAACAGGTACTTTTTATGAAGAGCATATAAAATTGAGTTTATAGGTGAAGGAAAATTACATGTATATGAAGAGCGTATAAGACCAGTGATCAAGCGATGTAAGATGATATTATTAGGAGCCTAACGCTCTCTTATTTGCTTTCTATCGTTTTTTCTGCCCAAAATCTTGGAGTGTTGACAAAAACTATTGAGATATATTCAGTCTATTATTAGATAGGGATATGTTCACTAGAAGTCCTAAAACTTATCACCAAAGTGTAATTGAGTCCTAAAACTTACAAAAGGTCCAATCGAATCCTAAAATTTGTCAAATTAATTCAATCGAATCCTAAAGTTAATACTGTTCAATTTAACTAACGGAAAATGCTAATATTGTTTTTTTTTCTATCCCACGTGGCTTTTTATCATTATTTTAATATTAATTTAATTTAAATTAAATTTAAAAAATAAACTAAAAAAAGGGAGGAGGAGGACAGGAGGGAAGGGAGGGCTTGCCCTCCTCGCCGTCCACCATCGCCGAGAGGGGCCGATGAGGGTGGGGGGACAACGGGCGTGGGTCGCCAAGCCCCAGCCACGGGCTGGCGACCCTTGCCGATGGTAGGCAAGGGCTTGCGGGCCCTCCCCCAGATCGAGCGAGGGTCACCGGCCCTTGCCCAAACTTGGCCGAGGGTTGCCAATGGCGGCCAACCCTCGCCTTATTTGGGGGAGGGCCGCCACTGGGGGGGGGGGTCGGCTGCCACTGGCGACCCTCACCCGATCTGGGGGAGGGCTGCGACCCCTCACCGAGATCTAGGTGAGGGCCCACAGGCCTTTGCCAGCGGTCGGCGAGGGTCGTTAGCCCTTGGCCGGGGCTCGACGACTCCCGCCTGCCGTCCAGCACCCTCGCCAGGCCCTCCCAGCGATGGTGGGGCGGTGGAGGCGGGAGGGCAAGCCCTCCCTCCCCGCTTGTCCTCCTCCTCCCTTTTTGTTTTTTTAGCTTATTTTTTAAATTTAATTTAACTAAAAGTAGTAGTAAAAATCAAATTTTTGCCAAAACGACGTTGTTTTAGTCACGTCATCGCCGCGTAGAAGAAAGAAAATATTAAAATAAGATATGTCAGCATTTTCCGTTAGTAAATTTGACAATGTTAACTTTAGGACTCATTTGAATCAATTTGATAAATTTTAGGATTTGATTGCAGTTTTTATAAGTTTTAGGATTCAATTGCATATTTAAAGAGTTTTTTTTAAACACGTTTTATTTAAAATACTGTCCTTTTTCCCTGAGAGCGGGGAAAAAAGCATATGAGTTTTTGGCGCGTATTTGGTGGCTCACATGCCAGATCTGTCTCTGTAACGCGGCTATCTAAAGGCAACATCGCCCCACTCAGCAAAACATTGTGTACGGTTTTGATTAGCTGAATAATCCGGTGCCAAGAAATCAAGAGAATTTAATAATAATAATAATAGTAATATTAACAATAATAATAATAATTCGACAAACTAAATAAAGCACAGTACTCTTAAATAAATCCTAAATTCGGGAGACGAAAAATATGATTGGGACTTCAATGGCGACGAAAAATTAATAAGCCGGGCGAGCCCCCCTACAACGTAAATTTTGCATAGATACCTTCGGGGTTGGGGATTTCCGAGTAAGAGTGCCGTTTGAACTCGCCCGTTTACTTTTCCAACACGGCCCGTTGATCATCGGTGAAAAGTGATTCTTTTTTTATTTTGCTGCTTTTCTTTTTCCTTTTTTCTTTCTTTTGGTTCGGGATTTACATGATGTCAAACTTCGGGTCGTGGAGAGCCGAGGCCACGCAACACCCGAAATTATTTTTGGGTTTTTTCGCTAAGTTTCTAGTGACATTGATCTGTCAATGAAACGACACATTAGTGTTACATGTTCATGTGCTCGACGGTCCCACCCGTGCCTCCAATTTCACAGCTCATCTATGCAAATATCGTTCCCCTATATGTTATAATTTCTTTTTTTTTAATGGGAAAATAACAAAAAAATAAGAAAAGAAAAAGAAAATACAAGAAAACGCCGACACCTCGTTGCTGGTTTGAATGCACGGAGACAGTTGTTCCGTAATAAAATCCTGGGTTTTTGATTAAACGATGCCCTCCGTACATCGAGAAAAATGATTTTCTTGTCTGATTACACATTTACGGCGGAAATAAATTAATTAATCTAGCTGTGCATCGCCCCACTTATCCTAATTATCGAGAATGAAAAATAATATTTTTGAAAATTAAAATAAAAAAAACTATGAAAAAGTTGAGCTATTATTTCATGCCTTAATATTCATGAATTTTGTGAGGTTTCAGGGGGTTTTGCATTTGATATAAATTGAAGGGAAAATTTCAAATAAAGACTTGAAGTGCTATCTTTTTCTTAAATAAGAGCATGATATGGACTTTGTGTTAAATAAGGACATGAAATACCCTCATTTTTCAAATAAGGGTCTGAAGTGACTACAACAGTTTCAAATAAGGGCGACCCTGCCGGCCAAAGGAGAGGGCCAGCCAGCCCTCGCCAGAATCGGGAGAGGGCAGCCGATGCGTCCCGGAGAACACATCCCCATGACGGCATTCGAATTCTAGCAGCCCGACGCACTTGTTGCGTGTCCTGCACTAGTTCCTCTTGACCATTGGCGGACGAAGACGAAGAATCCGTGGAAGCGGACGAAGACCAAGAATCCGTGGAAGCACTCCGTCACGGCCTAACTCTGAAATTTTGCGTTGAATGCGAAAAAAAATTAAGGAAAAAGAGAGTAACCACTAGAGTGTAAGCCCCGTTCTGTTAGCCCAGCCCATTACAAGGTAGGGCCAAGTGAATGACTGTGCGAATCGGCCAATGCAAACTTTCGGGCGAGAGTCCAGGAAGGCTCCGCACGCGTCTCGGCCTCATCGCACAAGTGCGCGACGGAACTCTTGCGCTCGAAGTCTTTTCTCGTTTCCGAGACCGCATCTCTGCGGGTTCGTGGCCCGGGGACTTTCCTGAGCCTTTGGGCCCATTCACTTCATTCAGTGACTTGGTAACATCGGACGCACGAAGTGTCCACTTAAAACACATTATTTGGCTCCTTGACAGCCGATATGGGACAAGATAAGTGAAGTTGGGCTGCAGTGATTTGGTCAGTGCTTTCTTATGAGACTCGTGGAATTAGTAGACAAAAACTAACATGAACAACACTTTAAACAAAGGGACTGGTCTTGTATTAGGCCGTAATTTTCTTGAAATTCGTTGCGGTGTACCTCTTGTTTTTCGGTCATACGTGGCGATGTACCTTAGTCACTGGAAAAAATCGGTCACGCTTGTACTTGTCGTAATTCACCTTTGCTCACAGCTAATAATTTATCACTATGGATAATGATTTGATTATCGAGTTCGTAACATGAAAGCATTAACATTATTCGACAATCGAACTTGATAGTTTAGACTGAACAAGCCGATCACGTATTTTCCTAGACTTGAAAATTCTAAATATTCAGTAGGTTTTCTCCCAGAAGTTATGCTGTGAAACCCGCTTCAATGGGGGAAAGGAGACGAAAGATTTGGTGAATTATATAGAACGTGAACGAAACCAGATTACAGATTGACACGGGCAAAGCCTCTTAGGCATCAGCAAAAGTTGAGCAATATTTCTCAAGCGGGAAAACCATTGGTTTGTCCCACCCCTGTTTCCGAAACTTTATTACGAGTCGTGATGTTGGCTGAGGAAAAGTATCGAGCACCTCACGGGCACTTGACTCTGTTGCCGTGGGTGGTCATGCCGGTGTAGCACTTGCCGCACATCTCTTGGTTCCCGTACGTCCCCGGAGGCACGCACTTGCACCGGTAGCAGCACGTCATGCACGCCCGCATGCACAGCCTCTTCCTGGAGTGGAGCTTGCACCTCTGGTCGCAGAGCGGGACGCAATCTGCGGGGACACCCGCCATGTGTTCGGTGAAATGGCTAAGCGAAAGAGGACATGGAAAGAACAAAAAATGATCATGGGAACGTCAGGAGGGGAAGATGGGTACCTGCTGTGGACTTCACTGGAGGCAGCGGTGCGTATGTGGGAGGCTTCGCTGGTGGTGGTGTCGCCTTCGTTGGAGGAGATGGGGTTGGTGGTTTGGCTGGCACCTTGGCCTGAGCAGGAGCTGGCACTGGGACTTTGGCATACGGTGGAGTCGGAGCCTGCAACGAACTTGTACGTTCAATCTCTACTTTGCAAGAAAGGTCATCAAGTTACATTTAATCAAGCAACATAACGTGATTCAACAGGAAAAACAAAAGTGCCACTATAATTGAGGACAAGGGTATGGTTCGTCTGACACGTTGACTAGGGGCTTGGGTTTTTCTGAACAGTCAATGCAGTGACGTGGTTGACTAATCTTGTCTCTTTGTGAACACTACTAGACTTTACTATTGTCTCTCTTTGCAGAACTTAGGTGAATTAAAATTAGGAAGTACTAAAAAGACCACTTGTGAAGTGCGGCATATATTTTTGCTTAGTAGTCCAGTAAATGCGAGCATTGTACTAGAAGATGAAAACAAACAAATGAAGCCCAGTTTTTGCTGAACAACCCAGCACTGTATTCCTACTTCTCCAAGGCGCCAAACATTGATGCGCATAGAATGAGCTTTATACACATTTCGCAGGATACTACACGTTACCTTCATCCTGGGATCCTCATCACTGGATGAAACCTGTCAAAAGAAGACAACGATTTAGACCACAGAGAAGGCACGCCCACCCTCAAGTAGGAGGTGAGAGAGAGAGAGAGAGAGAGAGAGAGAGTACCCTTGTGGTTATCAGGAGGAAAGTGGCCAACAAGAAGAGCACGGCTTTGAAGGCCATGGGGAATGGCAACAAAAGAGGCTGTAACTTCAAAGAGATGAGATCAAAGAGCTTCTCTTTTGGATGATTAATGGAGGAAGGGAGCGACTGTATTACCAGCTTTAAATAGAGCAAAGCTCGCAGAGAGAGGAAGACAGACTGAGAGTGAGATATTACGAGAGGAGGTGGCGTGGGCGGGTTCAGTCAAGTGTAGGACAGCTGGGAGCAGAGTACACTAGTTATGGCCTTTGATGTCAGAAATCTGACTATAGATTACACCCCCCACATGTCCCAATATCTGTCTCTATTATCTATCTACAGTATTCTAGCTCTACACAGGTTTTTTATTCATATTCTTGTACAGCGTACACGAGGAGGTCTCTCCTTCTTCGGTAATTGCAAGCAGCGATTGTCTTTGACAGCTGCTCTTTTTGCAAGATAGTAAGGTGATGTCGGATATAGTGACAGCTTTGATCCCTCTCTCTCTCCCTCTCTCTTCCTTTCTTTATACGGGGGAAACGCTGCATTTCTTTAATCATGTTTTTACAGAGTCGAAGTTTGGTAATGGAAGTGAAGATGGACGACACCGATGCCAGTGGTGTTATCCGTGACCTGAAGTCCCTTTCACACTCTTCCTCCCTCCCTCTGCGGTGAATATTAATGGCGGGATAGCATATTTACGATTCTTTTCCGAACCGCAAGCCTTTGCTGACAAGAGTCTTTTCTCCCTGAGCATTGGTTTTTTCTATTTCCAGTAAGTCAGATTTTGGTTCTTGACAAATGGTATTATATTGACACTAGGATTGATCTAGAGAGACCTACAGGGCTAATGATGCCAGGCTACCTGCCCCGGAAACAGAACTGAGATTTGAGCAGTAGCCGGGGGTGGGATTCTCTCGTTCTACTCTTCAATCTGTCTCCCTCCACATGTGATGTCATATGCATTGTCTACCCTGAGATGGTCAATGTGCGTTTTTAGGTGTTTTCCATTTGTCTTTTTCTTCGCGGGGAAGATGGTCGATGTGCTGGGAGCAAGCAAGATCGGCTAGATTCAATTTCCAAGCGAAACATGGGCCTGGAAACTTCTCTCTGCATGTGCATTCGCCAATTGCAAGTCACATGCATGAGGGAAGAATGATATTAGAAGTGCTAAAAGTCGTGTACGGCAAAATTTTCACCGGATTACTTTCAGTGTCAATTCTGAGAAAAAACGCCCAGCCAAAATAAGCATGTGGCATTCATAATTAAAATTTTATAAAGTTGGCACTAAAAAAAAAAATCAATCCGGGTGACATTTTCATGTGTACATTTCTCCCTCCCCTCCCTATACATCATTTCTTCCCTTTTCTCCCTTCCGCACCTTCACTACTTCATACTGTTCATGTGCACGGACTACTCGACTACATGGTCACCGACGCTCACCCATCACCACCCAGACCTACAAGCCGCACCACAATCTCAGCAATCAACGCCTGGCCATCTCCCTTGCATCCTCGCAGATGCGCTCATACAGTCCCTCCATAGACATACACACAAAGAACACTTTCATCTCACAAGCTATCTGTTCTCTAAGTACGAGACCTCTCTCTTGAGTCTTCCATGTTCATTTGAGCTTGATCTTAGGCCTTCTCGAATGCCATTTTCGTGGTGCGACCCACTGTGCGTCCCGCCTAATCGAAACTGGACAGAACAAAGCAAGATGAGGTCGAGGCTATTCAAGGCAGATTTGACCATTCCGAGAGTGTTTGCTGGGTGTACGAGCGTCGTTAGGGATAGGGCTATGAGGATGAAGCATTGCCATGAAGTGGTTTACTGACGAAATACCCAAAATCGAAGGAAAATGCAAAACCAGAGTCTCTCGGGTCCTTCTCACCGAAGCCGATTTAGGGGAAACCAAGGCTTCCATGGCTGTCTCAAGGCCACTAGAGGCGGCGAGGGGGCCATTGCCAATTAGTGGAAGAGGGATTGGGATCGAAGGTGGAGGAGGGGACGACAGAGGACTTGGCGTAGGAGAAGCGGGTGTGGCGAGAGACGGAGAGAGCAACGAGGGTGCGGACAGGCGGGAACCACTCGTGGCTCTAGAGGAAGATATTGGATTCGTTGACGGGTTATAGAGAGAGGGCGAGACATGATATGGTTAATATTCGTGAGAGGAGTTCTATTCAATCAAGATCACTTGGATGTTGTAGAGCTCGATGGAAGAAATGGAAAAAAGAGAGAGAAACACCGCGCTTGAAATGTAAATTGCTATAGCTAAGGGAATTGAAAGTACAGTATATGAAAGTAAAGATAATTGAAAGATGACATTTTGATTGTGTGTTCGCAGGGGGGCCTTTTTCTGGATATTGGATGGTATTTATACTGTGAGCATGATAACCGTTTTTCTAATGCCATCTGCCAGATCATATCCAATAACCACCGTTGATCTTATCTTCGCCGTTTATTTTTATGATATTTATCCATTAACTGTCATCGATCTTTTCTTTTCCTTCATCTTTCTGACATCTGTCGATAACCGTTTATTTGACCTCGTCTTTGCTTTGACACCTGTCCTTTGGTGTTTGGTAATCGTCGTCGATTTCTTCCTTGTCTTGACATCTGTCCTTCTCTATGAAATAACCGTCATCGATCTCTTTTCTATTCTAACACCTGTCCTTATCATGAGATAACAGTCATCAATCTCCTCTTTGTCATGACACCTATCCTTCCCCACAAGATTATTGTCATTGATCTCTTTTCTATTTTAACATATGTCCTTCCGTGTCAAACCATCACTAAGTGCACATAGAACCACGTGCCTCTTTTCTTATCGACAAGTTTGATGGCCTGGTCTTCTCTGAACAATTTTCATCGACAATCTACAGTACGAAAACTCAGGCGGCACTTATCTACTCCATGATTCTAGTCTTTTCAATTTCAGATTCTTAAATTTCTCGTCAGGATATTTTAGTGATTGCCAGCTGTATGCTGCTGCAATCAACTTTTTATGGCTTGCGTCACCCTTCAACAATCCTTATGTATTTTGTCGCTTTGTACATCCCCTAATTTAATTTAATTTTTACTGTCGACGACCTAATTAATTATTGGTGTCAACAGATAGGAATATGCAAACTCTCTTCCACTCTCTTTAAGAATAACTTCTTCCTTCTATCGTGAACTTCTGGTCAATCGTTTGAGAGCAATTTATGAATCTACAGTGTTAGAGTCGTCCTCTTTCATTAATGGTTAAGACTGCACACGCAAAAAATTATTGAATTCATTTTTAATCACCATAGCTAATGGAGATGCATTCATATTCAATCCTGGCCAAAAGAAGGAGAGGTCATCCAGGACAAAGCTAAATCCCCAGACGCTGCTGGATCTCCAGGATCATCGTCGACCTCTCGACTTGACTTGTCTTTTGGACTATTCGTGGAGGATCAGATCTCCTTCCATTGTACAATTATCACATGCATCGAGTGCATGCATTCAAATGAATCTAGTGGAGTTCTAGAGATTCAAGCTTGGAATTCGTCAAATTTGATGGTTTATAAGGATCTAGAGCGGGTCTCCAACGTCACCTATGAGAAGGCTGATTGTTAAACTGTGAACTGCAGATCTTAAGGATTATTGGATGTTATAAGTCATATGCTTATATCTCTACATTAAGTGTGGAGATTTCATTGGGTCCACTGTGAAGAAAGAAACTTTCTTTCACTAGCGCTGACGCTGTCGATCTAATGATTTCCGCAGAGATTTTCTTTATCCTGACTAACACATTCTAGATGGACTTACGATCGCCGTTGCTTGTGAGGAAAATGTATTTGCAGACGGAGAAGCTGATTGAAGTCTCATGTTCAATTACAAGTTAGTTTGATCATTTTGAGGAGTTAAAAGACTTTGTGTAGGCTTTTGCTTTCCCAAAGACGAAAGCCTGTTCTTTGACAAGTGAAACTATGCCTTCATCATCCCATATGGATCTTATTTCATGACCAAAGTAGCTCAAAGCACCAAACACTACACAACATTAGAAGTAAACCAACCACATCCAGACAACATGAAGCAAAGGCCAATAACATTTTCTTTTTCAGATTTAAAGGGGAAACATTAGGCTCTGTATGGACGAGAACATACTTCCAGCCGGGGCACATCTCCTCGTTCCCAAAGTCCCCGGAGGCACCCAGCCGTGGCACTGCCTGCAGCATGCCATGCACGGCCTCTTCTTCCGGTGCGCCTTGCACCGCTCCTTGCACGTCACCACGCATCCTGTGTTTTTCGAGCCAGTATTCTATTACACTACCAGAGAGGAAAAAAAGACAGAACTGAGAACGAGGGAACGGATAGTGATTCCCATTTCAACCGCAAATTTGTCTCATCATCGCGGCACTACTTGTGGAAACTGTTATTTTCTTTTCATTTTTTTTTTCTAGGGCAAGGGATGAATTGATTCTATTGTTTACCATAGAGCCATCCCGGTAAACTGCCATGGGAGGTTTCTCTGGTGCGTGAGCTGGAGCCTTGGTTGAACTCTTGCATCAAATTACAATGAATATTACCCCGAGGACTCTTGCTTTCTTTATTCTGGTATGTCGTGCACACGTGATTTTAGCAATAACACTGTCAAAAAACTCTATCCGTTATATCATATTGTAGGTAGTGCCGCATGACAGTGGACCACGACTTGTTCAATTGGTACGCCCGTGATAAGATGAGGTGATCGTAATAAGGAAAGGACTAGTTGGTGCTCCGAGAATAGCCGTGATTTTAGCAACGACGAAGATGTTACCTAAATGCTAGAAGTAATTGTGCACAAATCCTTTCTGCCTAAGATATGAAAGGACAACTAACCAAGCTTCTACTATAGGTTTTGGCCATAAAAAAGATCTCTAAGAAAGTACCTGAGAAGTTTGATGAAATTGCCCGGTTGATTTTTTATTCATGAACGACATACACTACATGTGATTATTGCAATTGATTCATTGAAAAAAGAACGCATTTACAATAGAATCTAAAAGTAGAAATGACTTAGTTTAGCTAAGTAGTCACTCTCAGCATATGCAAGAGATTGATACCCCGGTTGTGAACAAGAGCAACGTCAGGAATAGGAAGAGGAAAGCCTTGAAAGCCATTTCAGAGACAGAAAGCATATATATGCAAAGATGACCAGTGAAATCGGCCGAAAAATTTTGCTATAAATAGTGACAATTTTGGTCAAGAAGTGGTAACTTACACTAAAGATCACATCTACCCCAGATAAACATATGATGAGTTTTTAACCAAAAAAAAAAACATATGATGAGTTAGAATCAACCTGTGCCAATTTGATGCATCTGAGTTCGGGCACTCTGGGCTCGGTGGATTTGTTTAATTGCAGTCATACATGGTCTTGAAAGTGGTGCAGATTCTATACTTTTCGTGTGAACTTGTTAGCAGTTGCATGTTGATCAATGAGACTAATCCTGAGAGTCAACGATACATATTGCGTGTGTATGCATGAGCAATTATTTTCATCGTGGAGGGTCTAACCAAGAAAAGATCTTATCTGCAGGTTTTTACGTAACACGGCATAAGTGAATGGTATGACCGGTACTATGTGCCTCTACTTGCGAAGCAGACCTAAGATTCTAAAACTCAGAGAAGGAGACAATCATCACATACATCAATTGCACGCATTCAAATGGATCTAGTGAAGTTCAAGAGATTCGGACTCGGGATTCGTCGAATTCGATGGTTTATTGGATCTAGAGCGGGGGTCTATCATCACATATGAGAAGGCTGATTGTGAGTTCTATTCTGTTCTTTACACCCTCGAGATTTTGTAAGTCTTTGCTTATATTTCTGTACAAGTGTGGAGATTTCATTTGGTCCACGATGAATAAAGGAACTCTCTTTAAATAGTGCTGACGCTGTTAATATAATGATATGCGTAAAGATTTCATTAACCGTGACCGACACATTACAGATGGAGAAGCTGGTTGAAATCATAAGTTCAGTTACAAGCATTTTGAGGAGTTAAAGACTGTGTGTATGCTTTTGCTTCCCCAAAGTCGAAAGACTTTCATTTGACAAATGAAACTTTGCACTTTATTATTGTTCATCCTCCCATATGGGTCTTATTACATGATCAAAGCAACCCAAAATACCAGTACAAACAATATATGAAGTAAACACAACCACATTCGAACAACATGAAGCAATGGCTAATCACATTTTTGCAGATCTCAAGGGCAAGCAGTACGCACTCCGTGGATGTAAACAAAGTCCCAGCCGGGGCACTTCGAAGAACCTAGAGGCACGCACTTGCTATTGTTGCAGCATGTCGTGCACGCCTTCATGCACGGCCTCTTCTTCCGGGCCTTCTTGCAGAGCTCCTCACACGGCGCCACACATCCTGTGTTTTTGGGGGAAATTAGACAGGATTTAATTACAGAGAAAAATGGAAAAAGAACTGAGAACGAGGGAACATATGGTGATTCCTATTTCTAATGCAAATGTGTCGCATCATCACGGCACTACTTGTGCACACTGTTATTTTCCGTGGACGAACGTAGAAATTTTTTAGGGCAAGGGATGAATTGATGCTATTACTTACCATCGAGCTTTGCAGGGGGTTGTGCAATCGGAGCCTTCTCTGGCGGGTAAACTGCCCCGGGAGGTTTCCCTGGTGCGTACGCTGCAGCCTTGGTTGAACTCTGCATCAAATTACAAAGAGCGTTGTTACCCCGAGGACTCTTCACTTTCTTTATTCTGGTAATTTTTACAATAACACTGTCGAAAAACTCTATCCGTTGCCTTGATCGTTGGCTAGCGCCGCTTGTGACCGTGGACCACGACTTGTTTAATTGGTATGCCCATGCTAAGATGAGACAATTTTAATAAGGAAATGACCGGTTGGTGCTCCGAGCACAACCATGATTTCAGTGATGGCCGAAGATGTTACCTAAATTCTAGATATGATTGAGCACAAATCCTTTCTGCCTAAGATACGAAAGAACAATTAACTAAGCTTCTACTTCAAGCATTGTAGTATCGAGCTCAATGCTCAAGCTCCGTGACCCACTCCTTAAGTAACTACAAAAGTATCCGAAAAATTTGATGAAACGGCCTGGTTGATCTTGTATTCATGAACGACATAAACTACATGTTATTACTGCAATCGATCATAGAAAAAGAAGGAAAGAGAAGGAGTTAACTAAGCAGGATTGAATTGATATAACAAAAATAGAATATAGAAGTAAAGGACGACTTGGTTTAGCTAACTGGCTACTCTCGACTTATGCAAAGAGATAGATACCCCAGCTGTGAACAAGAGCAAAGCCAGGAGCAGGAAGACGAAAGCCTTGAAAGCCATTTCAGAGACAGAAAAGCGTGTGTGCAGGGGGGTTGTTTTCTTTGAGCTCTTGTCGACGATGAGCGAAACCGGATGACGAATTCGCTATAAATAGTGAAGATTTGGTCGAGAAAGGGCAACTTACAAGTTTCCATGGGTGCACCTGCAATGCACTACAGATCACATCTACCCTAGATAAAAGCATGGTGACTTAGAATCAACCTGTGCCAACTTGCTGCATCTGGGTTCGAAAACTCCGGGCTCGACGGATTTGTTTAATTGCTGTAATACGTGGGTCTTGAAATTAGTGTAGATTTTGGTACTTTTCAAGTGAAGTTTTTAGTCAGTGGCAAGTGGAAGCAATAAGAATAATCCTGAAAGTCAACATTTTACATGCATGACTGTATGAGTAGTCAGTTTAATCGTGGAGGGTCCAACCAAGGAAGATCTTATCTGCAGATTTTTACGCAATACGACTTAAACAAATGGTATATGATCAGTCCCATGTGCCTTCGTGCAGGCTACGTGCGAAACCCACCTAGGATTCTAAAAATCAGAGAAGAAGACCCTCGTATTGAGCAATCTCGCGTGGAAGAAATTAAGAGCATGCCAGCACAATCTGGTCACAGGATTAGCTGGCATCTCACACAGTCTGACCTAGTTTCCATACAGACTCGAACGTACCGCCACTCTCTCAATTTTAGGTTCTTGCTCCTGGGTAAAGTTGCTTTCTTTGATTTGTTAATTAAGATCATTTGAGACCCATCAGTCTAAGCAACACTCGTGTGTATTTTGACAGAGCCTACTAGAGAATTAATCGAAATCAATTTAAATGGATGATTAACCCGTTTTTGTATTGCCCCTTTGCATGCGAATATCACGGAAAAGGACCTCGACCCGATTACTCTACATTGATCTAGTTTGTCGGGGGCATGCTTTCGTGTTGAAGAAGGCACCATTTGTGATGATACACATATTGTCATCGATCTCGATCCGGCTCGAGCATGACTTGAAGAGGCGGTAATCGTATCCAAGGTTGATAATTAGCTAATTTGTAATCCGAATGTAGAAAGGCACGAATGCGTGATAATGCATGATGAACAGTTAGGTATTACGAATAATATCCAGTTCACGCAAAGTAGGGTTTAAGGTTAGGACTTGATTAACTTCACCGGTCGTGTTGCAACCTAGGATTGCTAACACCTTAGGTGGTTGCATGTGGCAGAGACGTAGCCTCCTCTATAACACTTTTGTAACGTGTTACTTCGAAAATGCAAAACGTGATTGACATCATCCAAGATAAGATTGCCAAGTACAATGACAGATAATGCGCAGTTAACGAGTTCAATTTTTTTTCTCCTTTTGAGGGGGGAACTGAAAAAATAAGGCAAAAAGTTTTAATGCTTTCACTTTCTCATGTCATGCGAACTCCTCTTGCTTGTTTGTGTATACAAAGAGGATGCGTACAGCAGCCCTATGCGGCGATAGATCCGTAATCTTGACCATTGAAGTTCATGCCAAGCAAATGCAGCATGGTCAAGTTCACATCGGTATAATGACAATCGTGAATTCAATGCATGCGAACCGACATAACGACAGTAATTGGCCATGTTAGAGAACAGCTCTTTTAAGATCTGAATTCGCCAGCATTTTAAAACGATAACAGCACATGTCAATTTCAGAAGAGGCACATCAGGGGCCGAGAATCTCAGCAGAACTTGAAAGATATGCCTAACGGTTCAGAGTTCAAAGATCTAGACAAGGACCTCCTCTTCCTCTTTGAAGCTCAAATTCAATGTTTGTAACTTGAATCCCACACCTTGTATGGTCTCGACCAAACTGGAAGCCACCCCTGTGGCTTGTATAGTCGTCTGTTTCGTCAACTAAGCAGAAAGGACGGAATTGTCAAACATGAGCGCCACAACATTACTCTGGCCAAAAAGAATACAAGCTTCATAGCAGTCCAATGTCCAACAAAGATAAATGAGAAGCATGCGAGTGAGCAAACTTGGAAAGATTGTGGTAGAAAACTGTTGACATGAAGAACGTGGAGACAGGGCAGGGTTGGCCCTTGCTCCTTAACAATTAAACCTTATCTAGTCACAGATAAGATAGAGCTCCTTATTAATCGGGGCCTGCTAAATTCTTATCCTAGGGCAATCCTTCCCAAAGGACAAATCCTCCATGGCTATGAGGTATTGCAGGATAAATCCAGCACTATATATGCTTGCTTGGGGTCACTAATGCAGATGAGTTGAAATACAGTAAAAGGTTCGAACCAAATGGAAAGCGAATACAAAACCATAATACACACTTTAAGAGTCCACACTCACCTCAACACTGGCAATGCCTTCGACAACTTGAACCTTCAAAGTTGCAATGCCCTCAGCTCCCTAGAAGAGAAAAGAAATTGGACGTGTTAAAGCACAATAATAGTTTGTGTACACTACACTACCTGTCGAAGTGAAAGAGCAGTGTGCTTCATTTCAGACTTCCTACAAATGAAATCAGAGGAGAGACACAAGGTATAAGACCATATTACTAAGAAATATATCTGGCCCAGTCAACCGAGAAAAAAACAATTCCTTAAATGCAATAGAAATAAGGAATCTGCAGAAGTTCGTGACAAAAGACCAAGGAAAAACAAAAGGAAAATGAGGTCGAGCTACAGAGCAGCTTCCTCGCACTTGGAAATAAGTATGAGAAGTTTCTAAGTGTTGAATGAGCAAATTCAACTTGCTTCCACAATATAGCGACGAAAGCTGTAAATCGGACTTGGGTATTCCACCCCAGGCAGTCAATAAGATCTCATCTTTCACAGTGAACGTCGCTGCCTGATGCCTGGTTACTCATATTACCAATAGCAACTTGTCAACTTCACCGTCAAAAGGCAGAGGTAATTGACCGTCATACCACACTAAGAGTATTTCCAACCTGAGATGGGACAAACATAAATGGAAGTTAAAACAAATGGGTCTACCTCCAACGCAGTTGTCACCGCTGGGATGGCTGATTCGCTCATTGTACCCTCTGCCTACAGAAATAAGAAGGTAAATATTAGAAAACATCAACTTTTTAAATGAACAGTCTAGGCTCAACATGCTGTCGTAACAAGACTAGCATACACACCCACAGCACATACATATATTCAGCAAGCAAGAGTTTAAGGATCGATATCATATAAGAACTGCTCAGCGAAATACCATTGATTGTTTAACCTATAGAAAGAGGCCTCTTTGTTTGATCATAAAGCTCCCCGATCCCTTTCTTTATCTTCGATCCGCTTGAACAGAATAATGGCCAAGGTCTTTCGAATCCAAAGAAAGGAAATAGGTCAACATGCTTCCCCTTTGATTGCTGGGACTCGTTAACGAAATCCTTCTTTTATTATAAAAATTTCAAAACCTCATTCTTTTCATTCTTCAGAGAAGGGTTTGCTCTTTCTTTGTTTCTTTTCTTTTCTCAATTCCTGATATATAAAGGCATTCTATAACAACATCTACAGTTAACCCCAGCGCTATACAAACGCCCTGAAAACAAAATGACAGTGCCAGCACTCAACTATCAATGATCTACCTCAACAGAACAATGCAGATAGCAACTCAACAACCCACCATCCACTTGCTGCAAGAGAAAGGGAAGGGTGCACAACCCCGACAACCACACTCGCAAACAAATTGCAAACTCACAAACCACTTTGACAACACAGACAAAGAACCAACCACAAACACTAACTGAACACAAGCAAATTCACATCAGGAACCAAATGGGTCCCCGTCGGTGCACCTGAAAGAACATGGTCAGAGTGTCGGAGGGCGAGACCGGGACCGAGACCGTCTGTTGTTCAGCAGCTGCTGAAGAAGAAGAAGAAGAAGAAGCAGAAGCATCTTCTTCGACCCGTGCCTCCGCGACCGGAGCTTCCTCTTCCTCCGACGACCTCAGTATCCTCATCCGGCGGCTCCGATGTCGCTCGCTCGACGACCAGCGGCTCACAGAAGCGACCTTCTTTCGCGCCTGAACTTGAAATTGAAGGCTCCGCGCGCGGAGGCCAAAAAGCAATCTGGGTTTTCTTGGAGATACTGCGGGGTTGACGATGGAGTGGGAAGCGACGAATGCCGAGACGCTGGCCATTGTTGATCGACACAGAGAACTCAGCAAGCAAGAAAATTTATCTCCAGACTTTGCGGAAGCGCGAGCGTTATCTTCTGAAGCTCTGCGTGTTTCGCTCTCCATCCGAATACCCGACCCAGATGACTCGGGGCTGGAGATCAGGGGCAAAGTGGTAAGAGAATTTAGATCAGTAATCGTACGGCTTAATACCGTAAAAAACCTCCAATTTTAGTTTCAATTTAACCAAGGAACCTGTTTTTGTCTCATAAAAAATTCCAGCTTTAGGTTCAGTTTCAATTTAATTCTAATTTTTTTATTTTATAAAAGATCACAAACTTTTACATGAGCCCCAAATCTGCTTTCTATTAACCCTTCGTTAAAATTGCCCTTAGTGATTTTGCACTCGATCTTTCATTTCCCGTGCTTTCTCTCGCGATTGGAGAGCTTGCCTTCGGGACGCTCAAACAGCTCGTGCTTTGGAGTTTTCCATCTCTCTGTTGTTAACAAGAAATTTTGGATGAAGGGTTAATGGAGGCAGATCTGTGATTTAAGTAAAATTTTGTGGTTTGGGACAAGACAAAAAAAAGTTTAAGATAAAATTAAGACAAGACTTAAAGTTGATTTTTTATAAGATAAAAAGAAATTTATAGTAAAATATTTTCGTTTGCGCAGCCGCCATCCTAATTTTTTCTGTATCATCTCAATTTTATCAGATGTCGCCAAAGAGACGGCTTTATGCGTCTTCGCATCACAATAAAAACTGGCCAGACTTGCATGATCCCGAGCGATGCGGGACTAGGGGCACTGGATTGACATGACAAACTCTCATCAAAGAGCCAGGTTGAGCCACCAACAGACCAGACCGACTAGACGGGATAACTGCAAAATCTAATTTAATCATCTCCCACCTCGATCTTCAAAGATCAATGATCACACAGATGAAATAATCAGAAGGCTCTCCTTAATTTGGGGAAAAATAAATAAAAACCTGCTGTAAACATCTTCCAAATCGTCAGTTGGCCTATCTATTTGATCTTTCGAAAAACTCACATAATCCTTTCCGCTCGTCAAATTATGTCGCCTCTATTTTGCGTGAATACGACTAAACCAATAGAACTATATTGTCGGTACAAACAAGTCTCAATTTGTTCCCAAGGGTCACCCCTCGTGCGCATCAAAATTATACTCAACCTATGCGTTGTATCTCGTATGCTGCACCCTGCATTTGCTACCATGATTTGACTATTTGAAGGAAACACTAATTGTTTGCAGAAAGATCATCAAAGATTGCAAAATGCCTTCCTAGAAATGTAAGTTACACGACCATGAAATGTCAAGCATAACTATGTTAACATTGTTATGACATTATCATGGCGAGAGCTTAGGAGTTCCATTCACAAATCAGCATTTAACACACCAAGTCCAAGGGACAAGGGACAAGGGGGAAAATGAAGAAAGAGAAGAACGAGCGTAAATTATACCTGCGAACCAAAATTTTGCCAAAGATGAACACAAATTTTAACCCTGGAGAATCTCATATTCAGTTCAGCTTGAATAGATGATAGCTATCCTTTGATTGCACCCCACATTGTAGCCCACGACCATATCTAGAACAGATAAAGACCGGTTATACATCAGCTTCCTAAGTTTCAAAACCAGCAGTCCCATTTATTACTCATCCAATGTAGGAGCAGCAAATGTTCAGAATCAGTACCGCTTCGCATCCGTAGGTAGGAATAGCTCCAAGTTAAAGACCCACATTCCCTCTGATGCATCTCATTGTGCACAAAGTATCATCTTTCGCATGCTACCAATTTTAGATCTTTATCAGTGCATGATGCCCAGAAGCCAATCCTATATCGGCCCTTGCCCTTCGAATATGATTCATAGAATCCAATCCAATCTGAGATGAAATCCAAGATGATGCTATTCCCAATACAACACAGAGAAAAATGCAAAATTCTCAAAAAATTACGACACCAGATGAATACTTATGGCTTACCTTCAACTCACATTGCCCATCAAAAATCTTGATTAGCTGGTACAAGCTTCAACAACTTGGCGAGATCATATGACTTGAATTCTTTGCCATAACACAGACTTAAATCTAGAGGTGTTTTTCCATCCTGAAACAAATTAGCCAAGAACTATATTACAAAAGAAGATAGAACAGATTTAATCTTCAACTCTCGGCAGGAAACCAAAATCAATTATGAACAGACACTGACAATAAGAAGTAAAGCTATTAGATAGTCTTCTTTTATTCATCAACAATTTATGCATGGTCAAATACATCACAGGCTTGAAGCCGCAAGAATGAACTTAAAGTGTTAAAGTAGACCCATAAACAAGGCAACCTTTTGGTAAGTCACTAATTCATCTACATATTGTTGAAGAATTTGTCAAGATACCTTAGTTGTTCTGGTTTTATCAGCTCCATTGACCAACAAAATTTTCGCAATATCTCTATTTCTACTCTGCATAGAGATGTGCAGCGGAGTCCATCCTTCCTGTAAAATGACATAAAACATAGCGTCATAAGGATTCATAAAGATTCATATTCACCAAGAAGAGGAATGAGTACACAAAAGAAAGGTGAGCCATACTCACATTATCTGCTACATTAACATCAACCTTGTACTTGATGAGCAGCTTCACAGTTTGCATGGCACTTACCTGAACAGCATAATGAAGCGGGGTAGCACCATCCTACCACAATATCAATAAGTAAGACCGCCGTTGCATCAGAACACATGAGTAAAAGTCCGGAAACTGCTACAGAGATCCAGAACAATGAAATGAAGTTGCATACCCAATCTCTAACATGAGGATCAGCACCTTTCCTCAGCAGATGACTAATAACAGCCTCCTTTTTGCCAATTATTGCCTTGTGCAGGGCAGTAAGACCATACTGTGGACGTAAACCGTCGAGTGTCAATCTGAGGGAAAAAAAGAAGGTGGAGGAAACGAGCCGGGGAGATCCTAAAACTTGCCTCATCGACAGCATCAATATCAAGACCATTTTCAAGCAGCTTGTCCATGAAAGGTATCTGTCCGGCTAGCGCAAGAGTATGGAGGGGGTTCCATTTTGACTGAGAACATGAAATGAAAACTAGCTAAGATATAGCCCGATATGCCGATTGTACCGGATTAATACAGGAAGATGTAAAACTTAAACCAAGAGAATTCAAACAGCTCAAACAGTCAATGCAGTGCCAAAGAGATCAACTGTCGATCAAAAGAACTCGAACCCGAGTGTACAATTTTTACCGTCGATATTTTTGCCAAATTAGGAGTGGGATTGTCACGCAGAACAGCACTTTCCTCTGGTCCTAAGAGCAGTTCAACCTCTGCAACAGCAAATTAAACACGAAAAACGATCAACGGGTCCTCACTGAGAAGACGATGAAACCGGGAAAAAGAAAAAGAAAAAAAAGAAAGAGCAGAGAGAACCCCTTATACCTTTCACCAATTCCTCCTCGTACTTGTCCGGCGAAGACATGCCAACACCGGAAGCAAGGCCCACGGCGTCGTCCCCGTCCTGTTCCCAGTCGCTCTCGTCTCCTTCTTCGTCGTCGTCGTAATCACTGCCACTTCCGTCGTCGGGGTCTTCCCAGACGCCTTGCCGCCGGGTCTTCGAAGGAGAAACTCTCTTGGGGTTGGACGCGCGCGTGATTGACGCGAAAGAATGCGAGCGCCCTCTGTTTGTCGCTGCGAAAAGCGAGGTTTTGGAGGTAGCGGAGCAGAATTTCGAACGAAGTGTGGAAGCACAAGGAGGCGGGAGACATCTGTAGTCCAGGATGGACGCTGTGGAAAGCCAAGAAGCCGCCATTGTTGTTTGGTTTCTAACTGTTCGACAAAATGTCAGAGAGAGAGAGCGAGAGAGCGAGAGCGAGCGCTGCGCTTTCTTGGCGCGACAGAACAAAAATTCATATTATCGTTACAAAACCTCTCGCCAATTTTAAGAGTATCGTCGGCCATTTTGTTCCATGAAAAACTCGATTTATCTTCGAATTTTCTAGTATTTGGACGCTGAAAAATTAATCGATCAACAAAAGACGTTCTACATTGGCTGAAAATAAAGAGTCTAGATTGAAAAAATGATTTCTTCTTCTAGTAAAAAGGAAATCATTTTTCTTTCCCGAATTTTTGCTACGTGTCCAAATGAGCTTTCATCAAATTTTTTTCCCGATACGTCTCATTTTTTTTTCTTTTATAAACTCGTCCATCATAATATATTTTGCTCGTGTTTTTCGACATTCCGAACCGAAAAACACCAACATATATTGTATATTTTACAAATATGACTTCATAATTCTTTCCTAATTCTTTTGCGAATTTTATTATTTCAATGGATTACAGAATAAACAAAAAAAAATACGTCAAATTCTAATTTGTTAGTCTTTAGGGAAAATTCCAATTAAGGACCCAAGTGGGGCTTTTTTCTCAAAAAAGGATCCAAAGTGGACATAGTGTCAAATAAGGGGCCGAAGTGCCCAATCAGTCTCAAATAAGAACTCGAAGTGCCCAATTAGTCTCAAGTAAGGGCCTGAGTTCACCGGCTGGTCGAATGCTTGCCGACCAGCGAGCACGGTTACTGTTCTGGCAATCGGAAAAGGGCAGTTTTGTCTTTTTTTTTCTTTTCCTTTTACTTTTCTGTTTTTTTTTTCTTCTCTTCCCTCCGCCCGCCATAGCCGGGCTGGCGACCTTCGCCGGCCTCAGGCGGAGGCCGCCCTTGCCGGCGTCAGGCGAGGGCCGCCCTCGCCTGGGCTCGGCGGGCGAGGGTCGCCCGACGCGGCGAGGGTCGCCCGACTCCGGCGAGGGTCGCCCGCCCGCCTAGCCTGGTGAGGGCCGCCTCGCCGTCCAGGCGAGGACGACCCGTGCCGGTGTCGGGCGGGCGAGGTCGACCCTCGCCAGATCGGGCGAGGTCGACTCTCGCCATATCTGACGAGGGCAACCCTCGCCCTCGCCCGAGCACCGGGCGGGCGAGGGCGACCCTTGCCGGGCGTTAGGGCGGCCCTCGGCCCAGGCTAGGCGGGCAAGGGTCGCCCTTGCCCGACGCCGGTGAGGGTCGCCCTCGCCCGCCCAGCCCAGTTGAGGGTCGCCGGCGTCGGCCAAGGGCGAGGGTTGCCCTTGCCGGATCTGGCGAGGGTCGACCTCGCCCGCCCAGCCCAAGCGAGGGCCGCCCTCGCCCGACACCGGCGACCTCCGCCGGCTATGGCCGGCGGAGGGAAGAGAAGGAAAAAAACAAAAAAGGAAAAGGAAAAAAAAGAAGAAAAAGACGAAACTGCCATTTTCCGGTCGTCGGAATAGTAACAGTGCTCGCCGGCCGGCAAACATTTGACCGGCCGACAAACCCAAGCCCTTACTTGAGACTAATTACTTGAGACTAATTGGGCACTTCGAATCCTTATTTGAGACTGATTGGACATTTCAAACCCTTATTTGACATTATGTCCATTTGTGGTCTTTTTTTGAGAAAAAGACCCCACTTGGGATCCTTAATTGGAATTTTCCCTAGTCTTTACATGTCATTTTTTTTTAAGGATATAAGCTTCCTCCAGTGGATTCACTTGTTTTCAAGTACCACAAACAAATTTTCTCAACTAGTTTCGGTGCAAACAAAGACCAGAAAATGGTACTTTCTTCCAAATCGAATTTCCTGAAGAACAATTTCCAGCGGCAAATCATATTCAGTGAAACAAACAGATTCGTTTCACAAAAAAAAGAGAATAACATATTAACAACTGAAGCATGAGAAACACTACTTATCGCCTCCATCATGCACTTTTTAACTGGTCCAACATGATTATCCACTTCAGGAAATCAACAACTGAGTTTTTCATTACCTAACAACAAAGCCTTGAACATAAGAACAACGACGCCATTGTCTCGGAGGAAATTGGCAGTTTGCATAATTTACATGTCATTACTCTTTCCGCCAACACATGTTGATGCAGTTTTTTTCTTGTAGCAATGCAAGTCCCATTCTTTCCACAACAATCTGAGGGCAACAAACAGGAAGCAGGTGATGGCTCCATGGTCGAGCTATTTCCGGCCACAATCCACTTCGACTTGACCATCTGCAAATCAACAGAAAAAACAATTAAAGTTACCATGAAGATCGATATCTGATGCCCAGGGAACCGGAGTCATCATAATCTCAGAGAGAAGAAAGCCGCACCCATGAGAGAAATAGCTAGATTTGCCTGAGCATCGGCTTCGGAGTTGAATTCCTAGAAAATGGGAAAGAGAGCTTTTTCACAATTAAAATCCTAGAGTGGAGATGACATTCAACGTGAGGGGAAAGATTAGTGTTTGTACCCTACGAACGTGGTCAATCTGAAAAGTGGTAAACCTGTCCTTGAGCTCTTTGGCCACCTTACACAAGTCGGCCATTTTCTGGTTCTTTAGTTTCCATTTTCCCTGAACCTGTTGCATAGGCATTTCTTTAAGGAGAGAGCAGAGGAATAAGATATACAACTCAATGGAATAGCAAGCAAGAGAAGCCAAGCATCCAAAGAGCTTGAGCAAGACTGCCAAGAGAGATTGCCGTTGTGGAGACAAATTTATAAGCAACTTGACTAACAAGCATCAAGCATGTTCACCTACATGTCTAGTAGTTACTCAAGCATATTTGATATACAAGGTACTTCAGGAACTCACTGCTCAATGGTCCAAAGTCTCAGCACACAGAAAGTATTCTAAGAGATGATATCATAACAATTCAAAAGAAATGGAATACAATTACACTTCTCCCAAAGAAAAAGATCATATGAGTAGCCCAGAAGAAAAAAATTATTGAAGAAAAATTAAAATATAAACACCACAGTATATAGGTAAAGGATGAGGGGACATCCAATAAAATGACAAACCTGCATACAGACAAGCATTGAATCCCCACGGACTTGAATTTTCTTAAACCCTTTCTGTAAAGCTTGTCCCAATCCCAAAATTAAAGCCCGATATTCAGCGGCGTTATTAGTTGCGATTCCCAGACCTTCACGCACCCGCCAAACCTACCAAAAACTCAGGGTCCAGAGTAGTAATTTTAAAAGCAAGGCATATAAGATTAGGCGATCCAAGTGATTGCATACCAAACTCCCATCATCAGCACGCAGGATAGCTCCTGCACCAGCCGGTCCAGGGTTTCCTCTTGAAGCTCCATCAAATTCTAGTGAGCAAGAACTCTGCTTGGGAAGAGCAGAGAGGGGAGAGAGATAAATTATATACCACGAGGCAAACATACAGCAAATAGAAATGCTTTAAAAACACATGAATAGATATAAAAACAACACAGAATACATATTAAAGTTAAGATTTAATTCTAAAATGGCTAGATGAAACAGAAAATTTTCTTAAGTAGAACTTATTTACATTTGCAGATCAAGGAACAATTAATCCCAAAACAACAGCGACACTTTCACCAACCTGGCTTTAAAAAGTTAACATATGATGACAAGATATGCAAAATAGAAATGTTTTTCAGTCTGTAACCTACACAATTGGAAGATGCTGGCTGACTTGCAATACCATCATTTAACTTCAAATGTTTGCTCTGATAATTGATCAAAGCTGAAGTTGGTCCCACCGCCTGCTGTTAGACAAATAAGATATAGATCAACCAAGCTACTAAGCATACGATCAAGCCAAACAGTGAGGATCAGGACAAGTATGTTGAGCTCCCCGCTTTTACTGACAAACTAAATGGGAAGTATAAACTCTAAAACAACATGCATCATGTACTCTTACAACAAAAATCCAGAAACACCATGCATAAGGCTTATCAACCAGGCTCTTATAAAAAAGAATAATGCCAACAAGAATGGTAAGGAAGCTTGTTCCATTGTTAATGATATGCAGCGCTCAAGAGATGAGATTAGGGATCAACTCTAGGAAGTAGGGACGATAATTTGAGTATCAGTCCCAATATTCCTGCCTGGCTTCCGCTCCATCTGTTAACTGTCAAGCAATGTGTTCTTATAAAATATCCAGCATCTCAAATAATTATTGTCCATCCAATAGGCTCGAAATTTTAGTAATTGCTCTAAAGTACTGCAACTCCATGTGGAACCAAACATCAAAATTTCTAGACACCGACTGAAAAGTCTCAAATAAATTTTTGTTAAACATTTTAACTCACCTTATGGTCCCACTGAAGCGCTTCCACTGATCTCTTTGTAGGCAGTGCCTTGTCAGATGATGCTCCTCTCGTAAAGGCAGGTTGCTGCAGGAAAATAATGGAAGAATAAACAGTAAGATTCCATCATATCTCCTTTCAGCGAGCTAACAAATAGTGCTCTCTACTAGTATTGGGCATTCATGAATTAACGTCTTCAAAAAACACAAAAGGAAGAGATTTCTCAGTATCATAGTCTGTCAATCGTACCAGGCATTTTAGGTCTCAGACTCGGATTAAGATACTACTAAGGCTAAAAGCAATCACCTAACCTAATCAACCAAATAAAAGCTTCTCTCCATCATGGGAGAGCCTGAAGATGAATAAGTCAGAAAGAGAAGTGAATGACAGACAAGCAGCATCCTAATTTAACTCATTAACAACAGCCAGCCAAAATTTAACTGAAATTTGACACCTCTACCAATTAGACTAATCAAAAGATATCGTCTCCGCAATGAAGCACTTCAAATTATGAAGAAGCATTGATAATTTTTGCTATCTAACCTGAAATGGGCAATGAACAAGTCCACCGAAAATATCATTTTTCAAGTTGGCGGCATTAATAGTATAAGAAGCATTCTTAAGACCATGTGACCTGAGATATTCCTCCGCCTCCTCTGCTAGACCATGGCCCTTATACACACTCAGAGATGGAGAATGTACCTACAAGGAGGAGGAAAAGATCTCAGTTTAAATAATGTGCAAAATCATTTTTACGCCACAACACAAGAAATTGGTCATTCCATTTATCTTTGAGGCAGGACAACCGTGCGAGATTATGCTCTCACGAGAATACAATAAAAAAACCGGAGCAGGAGAGGTTGATTGTCTGACCACCATAGTGGAGAATGCGCAGCAAGATTAAAGACACCTCAGTAGCAAGCTCACGATATCTTAAAACCAAGCGAAGAATTCCAGAACTGGAACCAAATCGAGGACATATTGTTCAATTATACTGCATCTTCAACCTAAGATCAAGCATGACTTATTACAATATGCACCCCGACAACCAATAATTGTGGCCAGCACAAATTATAACACAAAAAACTACAACCCCGGAGATGCAGGGGTTAATGTGCCAAAGTGTTTCTGGCGAATTTTTATCGATGGACCACCGCCACCGGTTGGTGAACACCATATGACTGCTAAATGAAGGAGATCACCCAAGAGGCACTCTATGCTCTAGGAACATACAAGTAATGCGGCATCAAATGGAATTCAGCTGAAACTATTCATCCCTTAAGTGCATCCATCAAGGGCAGTTTTCCTTGTTTAAAGGGCTTAAATTCAAATGGGTGTCTGATTTTATATATATAAACAAAGCTTATTACATGAATATAACTCTAAAGTGATGAACTTCACCACAAGACTATACACAGGCAACGGGGAGTTAGCATGAGAAGAAATTTACAGAAGACCCAGCTTGAGCTTGGCAATCGCTCAGGTTCCTGTAGATGCCAATTAGATCCCCCTTCTTCACAACGTAAAATGCGCCCTCGTCTTCCTGCTTCGACATCGCCCGGCGCGAAAAGGCTTCAACTCCGGCGGCAACTGCGCGAGCCAAAGACAAACTCATGATCGTGCAGTGGTAACTTGTCACAAACAAGAATAGCAATACAAACAGCTTTGATCTCAGTGGGTGCAGCAGAAGCCCTAGCAAAAATAGACAAAAAGGGAGAAATCTCGACGAAGAAAGGAGCAAGTACGGAGCGAGCGATTAGGGAGAACTCGGAACCGAGCGGCGGTAAGGAACAGCTACGGCGGCTTCTTTCCCAGTTCCGGCCGTCGTAGCAGTCGAGCTCGGCTTGCTTTGGGCAACGCTGTGCAGTTCTTCAAATCGCCTCTAGAGTTCTTGCGAACAGATGAATATATATGGAAAATAAAGATTTATTTTTTTCGGGAAAAACAAATGATTTTGAAAATTTATATCGTTAAAAATAATTAATTAATAAAAAATATTTTTAAATTTATTTCATTTATCTATTTTTGGAAGAGATATGGACGATCATTTTTTAAAATTCTAAATTATTCATTTTTCGTAAACCTAAAAGGTTAATTCTATGACCCAAAGGTCCATGTCCCGTGAACTTTTTACCTTGATCAATGTAACAAATCACAATCGTTTGGAGAAAGAAAATTGACATGTAAAATCACACCTTAATTTTTTATAAACATTTCAAGTTAAAAATATTCTTTTTGCTTTTTTTTAAAGTTTTTATTGCCGTGCACAAACAAACCCCTCGTACCCCATCAATTTTTTTTACAAAAAAGAGAAGAAGATCGTATACTTATCCTTGGTCTTGGAAATTATGTATTATATTTCAACTTTTCTTTTGTTAATTAGATCCCTAAACTATATATTTTTTTAATTTGTAAATCCTTTTGATAAACATGCAAATTGTAAGATTTTATCTAGTATTAAGCATTGACATATTTAATTAGGAAAATAAATGGGCTGAAAATATTCGAATTCGAGACCTCCTATTGTGATAGAATGTAGAACCTATTACTTTAATAGAATATAATATTTTGCGGAACTGCTGTCAACTATTCTAAAAGTTTAAGTTATTAAATGAATGTTTAGTTTAGTATTTAAATATGTAATCACAAATAAAAATACAGGGTAATTATCACATGAGCAATGCCTAAGCGCTAAATAGAGCAATCGATAATGTGCATGGACTTTTAGCTGGCCATCACCACCATGGCGTCGCGAAGTGAACTTTTGTTGTCAAAATCAAGTGTTGTTGTGACCTCCTTTTTCCAATCTCTCTTTGTTTTACGTGTTTCTAATTTTTTCCGCGTTTTAAAAAACATTGTTAACAATTGTCCTTATAGCATTGGTTAAATACCTATTTAAAATGAATTTGTGATTTTTAATTTATTATTCTCTTCGTGTTATGCGTAATCGATGCATGAAAATCAAAACATCACAATCGTAATAACTATGTCTACTAACAAGCCATAAAGTAATCCTTTATTTAGATTCCATTGAAGGTTCTCGAGAGTTGCGTTTGATGCGGGCGTGCTACTTAACAACAACTCAGCCGTGTTGGTGCTATCTTAACAAATCAATCGGCTTTTCTAATAGAAGGACCCCGAGTGAAAATGAGAATTAGACATCTAAAGTTTCCATTGCAGCTGCCGAGTGAGAATGAGGCAACCATTTTTTCTTGGAGATCAGTAGAAAGTAAAATTTGAAGACGACAGCAACGAATTGTTCGCAGTCTGGACGCAAAAAGTAAAGGGAAGTTGCATGCAATGAGCCATCACAAGATATCAGAGAGCATACATCCTATACAGAAACTCCAACCATGATTTCAGAGTTGGTATGGCTTCTCATATCTCCAAATCTTCCCGACAAAACATACTGATCATTAAATGGACTTTCAGTATGCTTTGCAGGTAACCACACTGAAGAACAGATATACTACAAGCACAACTCCTGCAGACAGCATAAATGTAATGCATCCACACTTTCTACTGGCACAAATTCAGCAGCTCAATTTAAAGTTTCACTCGTATCAACATGGAACATAACAGTTGCAACAGCAGGAGTTGCGAACACCAAACTATAATGTCGTTTAGAACTTTCTCAAACTCCATTTCATGAACAAGAGTATATAGCAGCAGATGGTGCTAAAGAACCAGGTAATTTGATCGATATAGTGACTTGAATATGAGAAGTAACAATTGAAGACTACAAAGTCATAGATGTTAGGACTGCATATATCATACCTGATGGAAAAAATGAAGGCTTTCTAGATGCACATTGGAAGGTGGGCATGGCAGGCAATTTGCAAAATGGGTTAACACCACAAAATACCCCAAACCTGTACACTTGTGACAAATATACCCCAAACTTATTTTTTGACCGCCAAAAACACCAAACTGGTATAAATGTGACAAATTACCCAAAACTAATATTTTGACAACCAAAAACCCTAAATCAGTACATTTATGACAAATTTACCCCTGCTGGTTTCCGTTAAATTTGATTAATACCACGAAAAATCATAAACTAGTACACCTGTGACAAATGGAAGGTAAAACCCCAAACCGGTATACCTGTCAACTGTCACGTGTCATCAAACTCAGCAATTTGACGGTTACAATTTAACGGAAATTAATGAATGGTAAATTTGTAGCAGGTATACCAGTTTGGGGTCTTTTATGGTCAAAAAATTAGTTTGTGGTAAATTTATCACAGGTGTACCGGTTTAGGGTTTTCCGAGGTATTAACCCTTGCAAAATACACAAGAGTAGACCGGGTGACGCAATGTATGCAAAAATAGAAATCCACTAGGCAGATAGAACTGTTAAGCAAAAGCCGAAAGATAAGTCTGGCAAAGATGAAGAAAACAGCAAACAAATTGTTTCAAGGGACGTTTGGTTTTCCTTTTTCCTTCCATAAGAATGTGGCTCTCATAAAATAACACAATTAGCCTACGATAGGCATGCAAAGATGGCTGATAGAAAGCGGCAGGCCACTTTTTAGATGCCATTTTATCAAGTGGTTAGTTTGATGCTAGGCCCCAATAATTATTTAAACTAGTTCTCATACTAGTCAAAAAGAAAAAGCATATGACAGCTAGACATGCTTGTGCAAGTCACAGGAGCAACTCCAAGCCAGGATTACACAAGATTTTTCATCAAGGAGTAGGACCTGCCTGCATAGGGTGCTCCCTAGAGAACGCACAGCTAATGGTCGAATCCTGAAGGAAAATTCTCATCTATATGAAGAGAACATTCACAACACAGAGACCTGTATATAGAAATCTAGATTTCCATGGAAAGAACAGAGCATTCCAAGTTCCCACCATGAACAGAGAATCCAAGACACAAATATAGGCAATAAGTCTAATTAAAGAAGCAAGTCGTGCCAAGGGCCAATATTAAGCCAGAACTTCGATGAAAGTGCTGATTGTCATGAAGTAGTATACAAGGAGGATGACCATTTTGTAACCAGCTTCAGACAATATTCACCAACTAAATGTGAGAAAAATGGAAGCTAACTCAATTGTGCAATACAGCATCTCCACCTCAATACCAGATGAAATTCAGTGGAAGCAAAAGCACTAGAAACCACAAAATGCGGTCAATTGAACAAGAGGCCCACAGCCAAGATATATAACCTTCAAAGATTGTAAACCATACAGTCAGTGTGCGCAAAGCAATGGAAGGATGGAATTGGAATATCATCGCTGAACAATCACAGATACGCAACCTGAGACTTCACCATCAGGATATAAAGGTAAAAGCCATGCAGGTGAGTGAAGGGGGGAAACATGGCATGCAAAAAGTATATTCAGAGCATGTTATAGTATTAAGATAGGCGTGTCTAGAGTAGCTTAAGTCAGTATGATACCTCGGATCAAGGGCCAGAAATGTCTTTGGCCAATCACATACTAAGAGAGCCACCAAAACAACTACTCAGACAAACAAATTTCTTGCAAAAGTTACATTCATAATGTTAGTGGATTGTACCCAGTTTGGGATCATATTGCGAGCACCTAACAGGAGACGATAAGTTTGATAGATCCATATTGTCAACCTGCACAAGGTATTTATATGGTAAAGGTTGTACTGAGATTCTGTGGATTCATGCAAGAGGGTCAAAACCGCTGATTGGGGGAGCACTGAGTGATATTAGTCAGATCACAAGAATTTATCATCAAGAGTATTGCCTGTACAATTACCTAATGTAGTCACATTGACATCTTCAGCATAAGCAAACGAATCTTCAATCACAAAACATGGCTACTTATATGTGCTCAGCTGCCACCAATCTTCAAAAGCATGAAAAATTGCAGAGAGGCTATTCTCATAGTACCACCACCAATATGAGTTTTTAAACCCAATATTAAATAAATGCACCATGTTCAGAAGAGAACATGCGATTCAATCTTCATATCAACTGATCACAGAAGAGTATCCTCAAAATCTCATGCTTCTACAGTGTTACCTAGCACAAACGAGAACAGCTCCCTAACGGGCGAAAACTCCACTAACCCAATATCCACTCCATACCCGGCGACGGGCAACTTCAAGTCCCTCAACACGCAGAACCCCTCGGCCATCCGCGTCTTCGGCACGTCCTGCGCCACCGTGCAGTACGGGGTCCACGACTCGGGGCGGTACTCCTCCCCAACCTCGACGCCCTCCTTCTTCATCGCGTCGCACAGCTGGGAATGCAGCTGGAGGAGGGACATGTTCGCCTTGGGCGCGAGGAAGAGGACGTTGTTGTCGACCGGGAAGCTCCCGACCGCGAAGAAGGAGAGCGGGACGGGCTCCTGCCGCGCCGCGAAGCCCCGGACCACGCCCTCGAGCTTCGAGGGCTCGACGAAGGGGGTGGAGAAGAGGGTGATGTGGGGGCGAGCCTCGATCTCGATGAGCTGGGTGCTGATTTGGCGGCGGGCGAGCACGTTCCAGGCCTTGAGCACCTGGTTCTCGAGCGCCGGATCGAAGTAGAGCTCGATCGCATACCCCTGCGACATCGCGGTTCTCCCTCCCTCCCCGGAATCGGAGCGCCTCGTAAACCGCGCGATCCCCCCGAGGCGAAATCGAAGCTCCTCGGAGTCGATCGAGAAACGGGGAAATCGGCGAGATCGGAACAACCTCGAAGAGCGGCGGCGCGAGGCCAATCCGAAACCCTAGACGCCGGTCATTTCGGCCGGAGGATTTCTGCCGCCGCCGCCTCCGTGAGATCTCGCGAGACAGAGAATTCGAGAGGGCAGCGATGGAGATTGCGAAATGGCGGCGAGATGCGATCGAGCGAGCGAGCGAGAGAGACGGTGGCGGATAGGAGAAGATTGATTAAGACGGAGGAGAGAGAGAGAGGGAGAGGGTCTTAATCTTATAGTAATCTTATAGTAAAATCGAGGTTAATATTACTAAGATTGATTTACGAGTATTGGTTATAAATTATTTTAAAAGCATTTTTTTTAAGGGTTTTGTATTTCTTTCTATCGTTTTTATACAATTTCGTGTAAAATTTCGCTATCTCGTGGTAGTCATGGTTGTGTTGATGATGGTCTAAAGGACCGTGGGTGAAATCTCTAGAGAAATGATTTTTTCATAATAAATTTATTTGGCTATGAAGTTATTAAAATGATATTTGGACCGTGGAATCGCGTTGATTTATTTAAATAACATTTCATTATAATGACAGTTCTCATGCGGGTGTTTTTAGAGGTTATAAGTTCTCACAATATGTTATTGATATATTGACTCGATCTTATTATGTGAAATATTATTAAATTAATCTTTTTAAGATCGATATTTTAAGCGCAACAAGAGATAGTTGATTATATTTGTAATAATAACTGTTTTCTTTTTTATCTTATCCCTTAAATATATACATGATGCATATTGAATTATGAATTATATGCTCGTTGCACTTTCTAATATTTATATATATTAACACTAAAATATGTACGTTAACTATAGAGTTGTCAGTTAAATTTATTATGAAACCATTTTTGATTAGCCGTTAGAACATGACAAGCGTTGTTCAATAAAAATGATATTGATGAACATTTACTTAGAATAACCGCTTTTTTATTAAGACAAAACACATTAAATGATTTTATCGTTTATTTATTTGTACTTATTTTTGGTCAACGATTTTATCGTTTATGAGTCAACGACAAAATCACCAAGTCGTCGCCGCCTTCGACTTCCTACCCCCCACCATCTTACACAACCTCACGTCCTGAGATCTGAGGTCGCGCGACGACCTTAAACCTCTGGCCAAGGCCCGGTGGTGCGGGCAAGCGGCGATGACCATTCGTGGTGTTATGGCTGAGTGATGGCGGCGAGCTGTGGTTGTGTATTGGTGGTGATGGTAGTTCGGCAGCGGCGGCGGCGCGAGTGGGTGGTGGTGGTTGTCAAGGGTGCTTGTGCCAGCTGGCCGTGGTCGCGCAGGGCCGGTGGAGTTGGGAGTTGCTCAGTCCATGACGGCGGCGGAAATGGTAGTTAGCTGTAGGCGGTGGGCGGAGGATGGTGGTTGCAGAAATGGTTATTACTGTAAAAAGAAAAAAAAAAACCGGCGTCCTTGTGAAGAGACTGATGTCCGTGCATCTAAGGCGTCTGAAGGGCGTTTTGAAACTTGGCATCATCTCGAGATGACACACAATACGTGAAGAAAGGTGTCGGAGACCAGTAACTCGCCGTCGAATGCAGACAACCGCCGCCGCTTCGGTTCGGCTAAACAAGCTCTAAACTAGCTTTGATCACGCATGCGCACGCACAGAGAGAGTTGGGCGGAGAAGTTTTGCGGGTGTTTTATCTCCCTTCCGGTTCGGCTAAACAAGCTCTAAACAAGAACGCTCGACAGGAGAGGCGGGTGTGGTACTGGTGCACCAGATCACCGTTGCGGAGAAAAGATATGCAAGTTACCGCCGATTCCGAAGTCGACGAGAAGCTCTTTGACCAGAGACGGCGCGCCCAGAACCCCCTCGTTCCCATCGGGAATCACCCCCCATCTTCAGCATGCACAGCTCTGTTTATACGTTTGACATTTCTGTCAAATCGTTTGCTATACAAGTCTTTATCGCGAACATGACATTGACTCTAGATCATATACACACGGGTATTGCTGATGAACAGTCACGGAATCAGCACAATAAGTGACATGACGGGCTGGCTCTAATCGGTTGGTGAACACGGTCCGTCCGACATGAACGTTGTTCACCGTTCGCAATCAATCTGTCGGGCGATTTATTACCCCCGACATCGTAGCCCCATCTGAACGTAACCCGGTATTGTTTACTGTAAAACCTGAAATTTGCAAATTGCACAACGCAGGCGCGTTCGTCACGGCCGGTGTGCTGGCAGCGGGGCTGATGACTTTCCAGCATGGGGACTCGCACCTGGGGCAGAAGCTGATGAGGGCTCGGGTCGTTGCCCAAGGGGTCACCGTCGCTCTCATGGTGCAAGGCGTCACCGTCGCTCTCATGGTCTGCACCGCCTACTACTGCGCCCAGAAATCTGCAAATCACTAACTCTTCGCCCCCAATCACCGTAAAAATTCAGAAATCAAATTACATATTGAGTCAACATTCATGAAATATTTGCGTCGTTACCTTTCACTTTTCCACCTTGTCCTTTGGGTTAAACTCTTTGTTAGATTGCTGTTTTCGTTTCGGGTTGGTGCCGTTTTGTCTCGTGTAAATAAAAGGGTGATCTGTCCGTGGACGACTTTTTCTCTTGGTTTTTCCTTCCCTTGTCTTTGTTTTGTCGATAGAGATCTTGAAGTTGGCATCGTATCCGCACGTCAATTTATCAGGGGTCGGTGAACTTTTTCGTTCGACGATGTCGCGAGGCACTTGCGAGTTCTCTCAAAATCATTATTTTTACACAGTTATGTTCACGAATGTCTCGAGACACTTGTTAAGCATACTTTAGTTAACACATTATTAATTAGATTTATAAAGTCATTCTTTTTTCCCCTTGGTGAAGCGGTTAGTGTCCTGCCAACGACTCCAAATTCGGTCCACATTTGCGATCCGCTAGACTATGCACACCAAGATTAACGAATTTGATTTACTTCTTTGTAGCATGGCCCCGAGCGGTTGGATCAACTATGAATCGATCCGAGAGGTCATTTTATTTTGAGGTTCCGTCGTTTTATCACTCGACCAACCCGAAGTAGTCGCGCCCGAATACGAATGTACATGTGCTGGAATCAGTGGGTCTGGGTCAGACCTTCTTGTGCAGGCGAAATGGCATATCACTGTCAAACCGTTTCTAGAGGCCGGCCTCTTGTTGAAGAAGCCAATTGGTTACTTCCTTGTCTTCCTTGTCAACTCTCACACCGAGCAGCGGCATCCACAAGGATACAAATCTTACATTGTGGAATCAGAAATAATTTAGGCCACTAAAAGATACTGGCAATTAACATGAGCATTGGAATCTTCTCCCAATTCCACAATGACATCCTCATTTTAAGATCTCTCAATGCAGAAGAACTCCCGAGTGTGCGACCCTGAACTGTCCGAAAAATGAAGCAAACTCTGGTCTGGGTGTTGATGGTACCTTTCTTTTGCCTCCTAGATCCGACGGGTTCGGTGATCGAAGCGGAGGTCAGGAGTTCGCTAATCAGCTTCCTAGGCAACCTCTCCAACGGCGATACCAAGCTCGCCACTGATCTCAGATGGGAGCAAGAGTCCGACCCCTGCATCGACAGCTGGAACGGTATAGTTTGTAATGTGGAAAAAGCTTCCGTGACGAGATTGCACCTTGAAAGGCTCAATCTTTCGGGGAGCCTCGATATGGGTTCTCTCTGCAATGTGCCTGTCATCGCGAATTCTCTCGCTCGCCTCATTCTCAATGGGAACTACCTTGGCGGTGGATTGCCCGCCGAGATCTCAGTTTGCAGGCAGCTCACTCACTTGCAAATCGGCGGGAACAAGTTCGAGGGGAAACTTCCCGACTCGCTAGCTTCGATGGATAATCTCAAAGCTCTTAATGTTTCGTACAATAATTTTTCTGGCACCCTGCCGAATTTGTCCAGGATTTCGGGGCTACAGACTTTCCTGGCTCAGGAAAATCAGCTGAGCGGGAAGATTCCCGTGTTCGACTTCTACAACTTCGATGACTTCAATGTCTCCTTCAACAACTTCAGCGGCCGAATCCCGGATGTCGACGGTTATTTCAATTCGAGTAGCTTTATGGGCAACCCTTTGCTGTGTGGAAATCCGCTCCAGAATAGCTGTCCACGAGATAAAGGGAAAGGCATCTCGAGCGAGCAGGAACTTATGTACTCGGGCTATGCAATACTAGGTTCGGTTCTTGTGGGCGTAGTTGTCTTCAAGCTCTGCAAGAAAAAGAGGAAGACGGACAAGGTTGACACAGAAAACGTGGTATTAGCGATCGACGGAAGCGGGAGCAAAGCTACTGTTCCATCAAGTGAACACAAAACTAGTGCTCCACTAGACAGATCAGAAGTTTCGGCTAACTCAGTTGAGAGTAGAATGGTCTCGTCTTCGCTCGTAGTTGTCACAAGCCCAACTGTGAACGGGCTGAGGTTCGAAGAACTACTTCAGGCTCCGGCTGAATTGCTCGGGAGAGGGAAGCACGGGAACCTCTATAAGGTCATATGCGAAAACGGGGCAATGTACGCTGTGAAGAGGATCAAGGATTGGGCAATCTCGAGTGAGGACTTCAAGAAGAGGATGCAGAAGATAGACCAAGTGAAGCATCCGAATGTGCTCTCGGTCGTCGCCTTCTACTCCTCCAAGCAAGAGAAGCTCCTGGTCTACGAATTTCAGCAAAATGGAAGCCTGTTCAGGCTCCTTCATGGTAACCTGTGATCTCTCTCTCTCTCTCTCTCTCTCTCTCTGTAATGCAGCTTGAACATGTCTACACTGATGTTTCAACCTCATTAACAATTAATTGCTGCTATATAAAACAGTGTCTGACTAATTAAAATGAGCAAAATTGAAGAAAGTCGTTTGCTTAGAGGCCTCCTTGTGATATGATGATGGTACAAAGTGACCAAAATCTTATCGAACCAGTTTAAGTTGATAACCACAAGGAGGCTCCTGCATGGTTCATCGTAAATACACAGATGCTCTCAGATCCACATGGTAATAGTGTGTCATATCCGAACAATTTAGCCGTGACGAAAGTTTGTCATAGAAAATTGAGCACAAAATGGGCTCTTAATCATTTGCAATGCCTCTTGAGAATTTGGAATAGTAATATAATGAACATCATTGGCTGAATCAGATCATACACCTGTTAATTTCAGGAACCCAAATGGGAAAAGCATTCGAGTGGGGCAGCAGACTCAACTTTGCAGCCAGCATCGCCAAGGGTCTCGCCACTATGCATCGAGAGCTTCGTGACGTCGACATTGCACATGGCAATCTGAAATCTTCCAACATCCTGCTTACTAAGGACATGGAGCCCTGCATCAGTGAGTATGGTCTAATGGTGCCGTACGATCACCAAGACCTGACTCCATCGATCACCCCCGCGTTCAAACCAGACGAGAAATCCAATTCGAGCGCGTCGAGGGCCTTCGGTTCGGACGTGTACAGTTTCGGCGTGATCCTCCTCGAGCTGCTGACCGGGAAGACGGTCCACAACAACAACGGATTCGACTTGCCCAAGTGGGTCGTCTCTGTCGTTCAGGAGGAGTGGACCGTGGAGGTGTTTGACAAGTCCCTGATCTCGGAAGGAGTGAGCGAGGAGCGGATGGTGAACTTGCTCCAGGTGGCCATCAAATGCGTCAACCGCTCGCTGGAGGCCAGGCCGAGCATGGCCCAGGTCTCTTCCATGATCGCCACGATAAAAGAGGAGGAAGACAGGTCTCTAGCATATGAACCCTGATGTGGCTTAAACCTTCCCTCTTGCCAAAGGTACAAGGTCATAGGGAGGACAAATGAATCCTGATAGAATTTGCAATTATGTGGTAATAGGAATCAGGCGAAGGAGATAGTAAAATTTCTAGCCAGTTTGAAGTATGACTCTGGCTTTTTGATCAATAATTAAGCAGTAAACACTGCTTTCATGTCCCTAGAATGCTGCATCATGCACTCCAGTGCTGATACTGATACACTTCTTCGAAGAATTCCATTTCATTTCTTTGTACTGACACGAGACATTATGTGAAATCGAACCTTATCATCATGGACATACCCAACATGCTAACGGGCCCGGCTCGTTGCACAGGCACATTGGATCAGTAGCTCTGCCAAGCTCGAGCAGTTTGTAGTTTGGTGTCGACCCGCTTTCGATACCGAACTGCTGGCCCAATCTTAATCTCCGCTCGGCTCGGCCACACCTGACTAAACGATGGGCTTAGGGAGGTTTTCCTGATCTTGTCCCGGTGCAAGCTCAGCCCGTCCATTGATGAGCTCTCTTCTACATCAGAAATTTTTGCCTATCTCAACTGAAGAATTCGATAACTAAACCATTAAGATACTTCTAATTTGAGTCGACTTCTTTCATTTTCGCGCTTCATTCGCCTCGATCTTACGGTTTTAATTGGCATCTTCAATCTGTTCCTAAACGGGGGAGATTGTAATATTTGTTTTCTTTCTCCGGTGAAAGTTCCAAGCTACCTTTGACAAAGACTCTTTGTCACTCCCTTCGGAGTGAGTACCGGCTATGATGCCGGTCACCTACTTTTGGCTGAGTGAGACCTTATTAGGACTGGCCACCGGACCGTGCCGGTCCCGGCACAGCACGGCCCGTTCGCGGGCCATGTCCCATTTTGGGCCTGGGCCGAGTCTAGCCCGGGGTCCAAAAATTCAATCACGCGGGTCACTAATCCGGTGGCCCAAACTTGCCCGACGGGCCACCACCGGCTCGTGGCTGTCCGAAACGGTGGAAGAGGACGGCCACCGGTTTTCCGATTTTTTGCCACCACGATTCGCGACTTACGAACCCCGCCAACATCCATGACATCATCGGAGCCCGCGACCAGTACTAAACAGCGGATCTTGAAAGACAATACATGTATACAGTTTGTCCGCGATAAAATTTAGAAATGACCATGGTAAGGCGACGATTGGTTTTTGCAAGAATTGATTCCAGAGAATCGCGCCTCACCTGAACATGAGGACAACGATGACCCTGTATCGTCCGAATGACAGCGAGGGACGCGATCCCAAGGTACCGAACTTATTAAACATTTTGTTTAGTGTAATTTTTGTGTAATCGTTATTAAGGCACCATTACGTGTAACTTTTCTTCTCAATTTACTTGATTATGTACTCGTACTTCCATTCGATAACTGTTTTCCATTAATTTTCCTCAATTCACTTTTTCATTGCTCTTAATATTTGAAGACAAACTAGTTTGAACTTTTCTAAATTTTGTCATTTGACTTTTCATTGCTCATACGACACTGGACGGCGAAACCCAACCCACGCGAAGATGAGCACTAAAATCAAACCCTCTTCATCTTCTTCCCAATAATCATTCCTTCCACTCGTCCGCAATCAAGCGGGAGCAAGAAATCAAACCTCTCATGAACGACCTCCCCCGTTGGCAAAACCCGTAAAGGAAAAAGGAAGGAAGACAGACGACGACGACGACGACACATAGTGCGCATTTTCGTCGGCCCAAAAATAAACGCCGCGCAATGAATTTAAAAAGACAAAAAAAAAAAAACGAGCCGGCTCAAGTAAGATCGCCGTCGTGCCGTCGTCATCGAACGTTGATTCGGGGCCAAGTCGAACCGGGAGCAAAATGATTAGGTAAGAGACAAAGCGCGGAGGCAACCAAGGAGTGATTTTTGAATCGGATCGTGGCTCACCTAAGGGGGGGGGCCTTTGTCACGCGTCCTTTTACTCGATTGCCCCCCTGTTTTTCCCCCCTTGGCGTACAGCTCGCAAATGATTGTCGCTTTTAGTCCCTCTTCCGACCTAATAATTCCCTTCTAAGCACAGATTAGAAACCCCAGCACTTGCAACTCTATCTTGTCTTCAATGGAGGAGCGGTTGCTTCTCACTTGGAAAATGACGCGAATGATCCCCGAAAATTTAAGTCAATGTGCAATGTGATTCCTGAACTTTTAATTTGTTCGATATGATCCCTGAACATTTGTTCGTTATCGTTTCTGAACTTTTGGTACGTGTTCAATTAGTCCCTGAACTATATGAAAATGTTCAATATAGTCCTTGAACGTGAATTGATAGAAGGACTATATTGAACATGTAAGAAAAGATCAGGGACCGCATGAATAAAGTAAAAGTTTAAGGACCACATTGAACATTAAACTAAAGATCAGGGATTACATCGAACAAATTAAGAGTTCGGGGGTCACATTAAATATTAAGTCAAAGTTTTGGAACAGTTTGTGTCGAGATTCCTTCTCACTTCAATCTTCTAGCCAAAAAATAAAAAAAATATCACTAAGGTGAATTAATTACCACAAAAAATCCCAAACTGGTAAACCTGTGACAAATTTACCCCAAACTAATTTTTTGACCACCAAAAACTCCAAACTGATATATTTGTGACAAGTTTACCCTCCGTTAAATCGAATTAATACAAAAAAAATCCAAAACTAGTACACACATGGAACAAACGAAGGGTAAAACTCCAAACTGGTACATTCGTCGACTGTCATGCATGTGTCATTTAACTAAGCAATTTGACAGTAAAATAATTTGTCAAAGGTGTACCAATTTGGGATTTTCGGTGATCAAAAAATCAGGTTGGGCTAAACTTGTCACAGATATACCAGTTTGGAGTTTTTCGTAGTAATAATCCTAATTTTTATTTAATCGTCTTTGGCATGGTATGTGGACAGGTATCCCTCAACTGCCTCTACGTGGGCCCCCACCGCTCTAATTAAATTCCCCCTAAAGCATGGTACCCGAAAATTAATAAATAAAATAACGTAACGGTCTACTTATCGGGGGGTTAATTAACGCCCCACTTTAGGCATTGGGTGCCCATACTTACTTTTTTTGTATTTCGCTTTTTGACTTCATTTCAGTTTTGTAGTAAACGGAAAAGGTAAAGATATCGAACTTGCTTTGTGCAGCGAGAAAAAAAGAATCCCCGATGTTTGGCTTCGTTGGCCGGAGTGACGGGAGATTTCTTACTTAAGAATTGGAAGTCACTCGCTCGAATCTCATTAACCGGGTGCAAATCGCTCTGAATCGGGATCACCTACGTAAGTCGAATGTATGGACCGGGGCTTGCAGAGTTCTCCACGAGTCTCCAAATGATTAGCCCGTTAGGTTCGTGCCATTGATAAAAGAGAAAGAAAACTCCATCCCTTCCATATATAGGGATGATGACACAGATGATCTTAAAATTTTGGCAAATATGTAATGTGATCCCAAACTTTTAATTTATTCAACGTGATCCTTGAACTTTTAATACACGTTCAACTTAGCCCATAAATCATATGGAAATGTTTAATATTGTCTTTCCATCAATTCAAGTTTAGGGATAATATTTATATTTTCATATAGATCGGGAACTAAATTGAACATTTACTAAAATTTCAAGGACCACGTTACAGTTCAAGGATCACAATAAACAAATTAAAAATTTAAGCACCGCATTACATATTGAATTTAATAATCGTTTGCGTCATTTTCCTTTCCATCTGTCACGAAACTTGCGACTTCGAAGTGGGACACTTTCCAAACAAAAAGTAAAAAATAGACATTGTAATTGCTAGACTTTCGACTAAATTAAGAAGACCCCCCGCCCCAAAAAAAAAAATCGAAGGAGGTCTCATCTCGTGGGGCTTATCTCCACGGTAACAGCGCCGGTTTTGTCTTTACCTTTATTTCCTCAGCTCCTCAATCAAAGCCTAAAAACAACTCCCGAAGGGGAGCTCACCCCTCCAAGCAATCATGCGACGCCACGTGTCCCCGCTTTCGTGCATCCCGAAGCGCGGAATCTCTCTCTCTCTCCCTCGCTCGCTCGTCACAGGCTCGACTCGAAGTGGCGCGCGACGACTTTTTTTTGAAAAGAAGGGCCCAGGCCCACCTCGTAACCCGCATTTGTCACTTTGTCACTCATGGTTGACCGCCTCCCACCCCCACGCGCCGTCTTCCCCGCGTGCCCCCCACTCGCCCCCCTCTTCCATGGTCTCCTCTCTCTCTCTCTCTCTCTCTCTCTCTCTCTCTCTCTCTCTCTCTCTAGGTGAGGAAAGTAAGGGTGCGCAACGATCCCTGTTCAATCCGGAACTGGTCTCGCCGCTCCGGTTCGAGGCCGATTCTCAGAAGAATTAGATAGACTCGTGAGTTTGAAATTTGGGAACCCAACATGTTCGGTTCGATTCAGTTCCTTATCGAACCTTAAACCCGCTAGGTTTCGAACTGACTTAAGCCGATTATAAAATTCAATCAATCCTAAATTAGCTTTGGACTAGAAATCAAATTTCTTTCTAGAAAAATTGCAACGAGTTAATGACTTCAAATAATGATCCTTTAAGCTTAATTGTTGCTCTTGTACAAGCAAGCGCTTCCACAATAACCGAATATGACTCCATCCACATGTTGGCAAGCCAGCCTAACCTCTAAAATTACTCCGACGTGAGATGTCATGATTCAAACGCGAAATTTTCAATATCTAAACTAGATGGAATTACTCGTCTAGATCAGAATTGAATAACCATCTGCCGAGATAGGTATAGGAAAATTTCGAGATGGGCGAGGCCCTATGTGAGAATGAATTTGTTCCACTGAAACTAGTGGGTTTCCCCACGAGCTATACAAGACGTGACATCTTAATACATTTATATTCATTAACTTCTCTTACCTTAGGAATAGAGAAAGGCTTTGATCTGGCGAAAGAGAGGGAAGGCCAGGCGTTTGTTTGGTCACTGACGCCACGCTCGGTGGTGGTGGTGAGAGCATATGCGGAAGGACCGACGTGCCTTTGGGTTCTTTTTGGCATTCCTTTAACCCTCTCCCCACTTTTCTTCGGTTGCTTTTGCTCTCTCCCCCCTCCTCTCGCCGTGTCACACCACCACTTCCCTTCCGCTCCACCACCATCAACGACAGCTCTAGAGAGAGAGAGAGAGAGAGAGACAGGCACAGCACCCTCTTTTCTTGCCCACTAGCGCACGCTTCTAGGGGGAGAGGAGAACTCTGAGGGATCTCTCTCTCTCTCTCTCTCTGTCCCAACCCGTTTTCTTCACTTTCCTCTTCACGGGCTGAGCCAACGCAGATTTGAATGAGCACAGCCACTTCCCCAACAAAAAGAAGAGGGAGGGTCCTCTTTGTCTTTTGGGTTTTCCCTCTAGCGCAGCCCGTGGGAAGAGCGTCTTTGGGTGGGCGCCTGATGTTGGGTGTCCCCATGGAATCGAAGTTTTGGTAAGTTGCTCTTCGTCTCACCGTCTTTTGGCATCTCTGTAATCAGTGCTTGAAAAATTAGTGACCAAAGAGGCTTCGCTGCGTGCTATGCAAGAACTGGGAGTTTGGCTTCGAAGGGCGTCTGTTTCTCCTCGAATCTTGGTGGGGAGAGCATATGGGGGATGCTGAAACATAGCGGTGTCTCGGGTTTGAGTAGCGTGGGTTTCGCTTTCATCTTGCGGAAGTAGATGAATCCAGTGTCTTCGGGTGTGAAACGAGATCCGTGATATGTTATGTCAGGAGTTAAAGGCTTTACGCTGTATCTTGAGAGTGCCCATGTGAACATGTACTTGAATCAGCACCAAGTCAAGCAAAAAGATGGGTTTTTTTCAACTCACCCACCTCCCTTTTCACCTTCGTCTCCCTATATCGGTGCTTTCCACAGAGATGCAAGCTCTTCATCGTCATCACCGTCGTCGTCGTCGTCAGTGCCACCATCACCACCAACATCTTCTGGTGCTAGGATTAGTCCTGCAGTTCTTTTCATAATCATAATTTTGGCTGTGTTGTTCTTCATTTCTGGCCTCCTCCACCTGCTTGTGAGATTTCTTATAAAGCACCCATCTTCGTCAGCGTCCTCTCAATCCAATAGATATCCGGAGATTTCGGGCTCCGATGCTCTGCAGAGACAGTTGCAGCAGCTCTTCCATCTCCATGACTCCGGTTTAGATCAGGCTTTTATAGATGCTCTTCCTGTTTTCCAGTTCAAGGAGATTGTGGGTCTGAAAGAGCCGTTTGATTGCGCCGTCTGCCTCTGTGAATTCACTGAGAAGGATAAGTTGAGGTTGCTGCCGACGTGTAGCCATGCTTTCCATCTCGGTTGCATTGATACCTGGCTCTTGTCGAACTCGACATGCCCTCTTTGTAGAGGGACCCTTTTCGCTCCGGGGTTTTCCATTGAAAACCCGATTTTCGACTACGATGATCCGAGAGAAGAAGATGGGTATCTTGGTAATGGAGAAAATGGATTGGCTACAAATCATAAAGCGGCAGATATCGAAGAAATTGTCGTGGAAAAGGGTGTTGTACCAGTGAGACTTGGTAAATTCAGAAGGATGAACAATGACGCAAGGGACGAAGGAGTCGGAGAGACAAGTAGCAGCAATTTAGATGCGCGGCGATGTTATTCAATGGGTTCGTATCAATACGTGCTCGGTGATTCTGAACTGCGGGTCTCTTTGCATCATGATTGTCACGGCAATGTTGCCAAAATCACAGAAGGGGGACAACCTAACGGCGATTTCTCTGTTAATGTGGATATGGAGGAGAAGAACATGAAAAGCGTGGCTAGAGGTGAGAGCTATTCTGTTTCCAAAATTTGGCTCTGGTCCAAAAAGAGCAAATTCTCTAGATCTTCAGATGACCAGATGGACATGCCTTCCTCTATTAAAATGGACTTTTAGTGGCTTAGAACTGAGATTGAACATGTGATGCATTGCTTTTTTGTGATGCTTGATGATTCATTTCTTTGAAAGTACCTTGTGATGCAATTCCATGGCATTTCACTTGCAATCCTTGCGAATGTTAATTGAGAAATTGAATGAGTTAGCTGTGCCACACATAATATTCTGGGTTTTCTGCGTTTAAGCCCAGTCTCTCCTCTCATTCTTCCGAGAAGGATTTAGTGGGGAGAGTCTCCAAATATTTTCTTGTTTAAGTGGTCAAAAGGCTTCTTATTATTCTAGTTGGAGTGTCAAATCTATAATGAACATTGAATCGCAAGAGAAGTTTCCTTTTCCATGACTTGCAAATATGTCTCTTTAAAAATGGAGTTTGGGAATCTGAAGTTGCGTAATGGAAAATCAAGGTGTTTGTACTCTGCCTTTTCATTCGGCACATGGAGTCACCTTCAGTTGTCTCAAGAATCGCAAAGTTATGCTTTGGAATGCGGAAGTGCTTCGATCAATCATGTGAGTACAAACCTCTCTTTCTTCTCACTGTTAGGCACGCCGAAACATTCTTTTCTGGGAGAATATAGAAAGCCAGCCAATGCACTCTCCCCTGTCCTATCTTATTTGTTCACGCATCCATTAAACTCCGACCACCGAATATTTCTTTCGTAGGAAAAGAGGCACTGTTCTACCCAATTGGGGTATATGTTTAATCTCGGTATCTATTGCCTATTTAGGGTTCCTGGTTCCTTCCTTCACTCTGCAATATCTATCCAAATCACAACAATGTATGAGCTGAGAAGGATTCGGATGCTGTGCAATGGTCGTGGTGGGTTCCATGGAAGCATTTTTTAGGGGAAGTATTTTTATGTTTATGCAATAATTGACAGGTATTACATTTAAGAACTTGCTGGTAGTTTGCAAAAGATGTGGGGTCTGTCATATGCTCAGCCCCATGTGAGCATGTTGAAATCAGCCCTTTGTTAACTAAAAACCACCCCCCTCCTCAAAGAACTGGTTTCTTGTTTCTCTGCACGGTGATGATGGGATGGGCTTAACTTCAAGCGCGTTTGAAAAGGAGTGCTTATCGTGTAGTTCAAGATTTGATTCAGCAGGTGAGATGGTTGGGACTTGGAAATTGTCATACGAGAAGAAATAACAAGAGGGGGTTGTCTTGTTCTTTAAGGATATTGCTTATGACATGAAGTAAGTTAAAATGAGATTTGTTTATTGGCGCCCGCTGCATGGCCTTGAGCATTTGTCTGAGCTGGTTGGTCGGTGCGATGCTCGTGTCCGTGTCTTGTTCTGTGTCCACCCACCCCCACCATCTGCGATGACTCCACCAGATTCAAATAAGAAATAGTGCACGTGGCTCCAAAGGAAATGGTATTGATGGACTTGATACACTTGGTTTCCCCTGTCTATAAAATTGTATCCGGTCGAACGTAACGGAGATGGGATAAGATGATTTGTTTACGTCGTTTGAAGAAAGAGCTAGCATGTCGTTTTCTAATCGATGAATCGGTATAAATCGCTTGATACTCACAGTTTCGGGGTCTTAATTGACATTCACGGCGCAACGATGAATTACGCAAAACCTAATTGTTCACATTATAAAGAGCAAGCAAATAGTTATGCTGACATCTACAAGGGAGGTCGTTAGCTTTGGTCGCCCCTCTTTACCTTTTTGCGTATAAAAAGAATAAAAGACAGAGACGATGTTAAAAAGGTCGATTAGGCCGGACGTTTTGACGGTCATTTCGAGTTGCTCTCCGGGGATGTAGGGATATGTTTCACCGTTTACCTGGAGCAGTAAGTTTAATTGAGTGGAACTTCCGATCGATTCAATTGTTATCTTTTTCGAAAGAAAAATCCGCTAATGTAAAGAGCAAAAAAAATTTACACTAAACGATGTTATTGACCGTTGATATAAGATCTTTAACCATCGAATCTCTCGAACAAATGGGTATTCTCACATGATCTCTATTTCTCTATGATATTAAATTTGTAGATCTTCAAGGAATGAGGGGGGCATGTCCTTACTGTCTCTGCTTGAACGGTCGCAGTTGGGATTGTACAGTTTGGCAGTTTTTACCGGGATCCACCGAAGACAGCCCCTGGTGACCGTACGGACCATTCTCTTGAAAGACTATTCTCTTCATGTGCCTGGAACGTGGTTCCGGTTCCGGTTCCTCGTCATCTAGCATGGTTTCCGAGCAACATCGTCGAATGAAGGGCGCTTTATGTGTTAATCATTCGATGCCTCGAAAGTTTCGGGACACTCGGGATCGAAGAAATTAAAGTGGATGAGTTGCAAAGTTTAAGTTCCTTGTCTTCTCAAACGTGGTTTTCGAGCGACGTGGTCAAATGAAGAGTGCTTTACGTGTTATCATTCGATTCGATGCGCTGAAAGTTTTGGGACATTCGAGATCGAAAAAATTAAAGTGGGTGAGTTGCAAAGTTTAAATTACAAATAATAATCAAAAAGTGAAAGTCAATCCATACCGATTTAAAGTCGATCGAGCAAGCTGCGTGATCGGCTTGACAATTTAATACTATAGTTCTTCATGCATTTGCTAATGTTTTGAGACTATATGGTCGCACGACATTTCGCCATACATTTACAGTCCAGGCATGATCAGAAGATCCAAGAAGGGCCCAAATGTGATCATATTGGATGAGCTACACTTATGAAGGAAGTTCTAAGAATGTACCGAGCATCCAATATCCTAATAAAGGATTTACAGAGTTGGCGAAACATCTCCTCTTTCGGGGTTCGAGGAGTTCGAGGTATTCGGTTGGATTCTCGGGTTGGCGTGTCCCCGGCCTCTCGCTATTTGGCAGTGAGGAAATGATTCTTCGATAATCTTATAGTCTTGACGAGGATGGCTGTTCTACTGGATCGAGAACGCGAAATTTGATCCAGGACGAGTTGAGCTGCATTTAGTACGTTACCGGCGTGTTTAGTCAGATAAGACCGGAGGAATTATTACTTCCAAGAGTCTTTTTAAGGATCATTGGGGAACGGATCCCCAACCATGACAACCAAATGAAAAGAGTAAATCTTATCCGTTGACCGAAAAACCAAGTGTTTGTATGTTTCATATTTTCTAAAGATGTTGTGAAAGACAGCAACCAGTCATGATACTCGCAGTCCGGGTCCAAAGGGCCGGCCCCACTTCCACAATTCCAAGAAAGTCCAGCCAAATTCCATCTCTCAATGCCCCCCTTGTTTTGTTCTTCCCTAGGCCACAACCGTGCCGTGACCCTCGCAATTTCCGGGTCGGCTTCAGTTCAGATCAGTACCGAGTGGTCCTTGTTATGGCCCTGCAACAAAACAACAATTTGGAATTAATTGGTCCAGCAGATCAGCAGAAGATGACTAGCTAAGAAGATAGGTAAGGGTACTGCTTGGCGCACACTCGTATGGAATGCGGTAGCTACACCACTTGTGACATTGCCGTGTTCTGGTGCTTTCTTTTTTCAATTTAAGCCGACGAGAAAACCAGTTTATACGTGTAAATCCCGAGCCCATGAAATGCCCGAGTAGCTTCATCGACAGGGTAGGACACGAGCCAGGGCCGCCCCGGGCGTGTGGTCCAAACATGCTATGCTTTTAAGCATGGAAATTTTATTTTAGGATTGTGATGGAACGAGTCGTTTCTTTTCTGATTGTTGCCTGATGAAGTTATCTTGTGCTAAAACAGAAACTGGCAACTTCAGGAAAGATGAAATCACCAAGTAGGATTTTCGAGATGAAGTAGCAGAGGACGAAAAACTACTCACTCGACTCTGAAAGCAGTAGACCAACTCTTGCTATGTTCCTTCACCAATTATTTGAGAAGTTGGGATTGGAGGTGGAGACGAGACTGAAATTCGCTTCAAATGGTTAGGGGGGGTAGGATTGTGTTTTGTGCTGATAAATGAAGCAGTCTGTAGCATTCTTTTCACCATTCTCGTCGTCGTTGTCGTGCTTGTTGTTGCTACTACTTCCGCCACTAGTCTTCAGGCAGTTGTCCTTTTAGGATTTTCGACTCGACACAGATACAAATAGAGACTGTACAACATAGGATATCACAAGCGCAATCTAATAACCGAAGAAACAGACCACGGAATAACTTTAGCGAATGAGAGTAGATCTGATGTTGTTTTGCTTTTTGATAATTACTACTAATGCGATTCTCTTCAAACTTTGCTGGTCAAAAAGAAAAATGCAGGGGAATCAATAGGTGACTTTCACTCACGTTATCTCAGATACATTCCTCACCGGAGAAGAAAAGGTAAAAAGAAAGAGATGGATGCTAAAGCCTAACTCACATATCCACAGCGTGATTCTACCATCATGTTTCATGCTTCACATAACAAACTTACTTATCAGAAAGGTAAAAAGAGAAAAAGAAACGAAGACGACGGAAAAACATAACGAACTTGTGTATCTACCATTCATGTAGAATCGCGAGATCCGGTCCTCAGTATCCATGAGAGTAACCCATGTAGTTGATTCGAGGCCGAATGTTGCGGTGGTCAAACCTGGGATCTGCGTAGTCAACGGCCTTGATCACCATGGCTTCACGCCGGCCATCTTGCTCTTGGACCGCCCCGAAGACTATCTCGTTCGTCTCGCAGCTCCTCTCATAGTATGTGTTTGGTTCGGGTGAGTAATGCCGGTGGTGGTGCTGTTGGTGGTGCTGCATTTGCCTTGGCTGCTGCTGCTGCTGCTGCTGCTGCTGCTGCTGGGAGTAATCCCCAACCCACCTGCCGTAGTGACCCTGGCTTTGCCTGAAGTGTTGACTCTTCTCAATTTCTTTGCTCATGAACGGGTAGGTCCTCTTTGGGTTCGGAGTTCTGCTCTCTAATGGTGGCGGAGGCTCATCTCCGTCTGGAATCGCAAAGCTCTCCTGCATCGGCCATGAATTGGCGTGTTCATTATATAGCTGCTGCTGCTGCTGCTGACGGAGATCAAAGTGCTGGGGTTTCCTTTTAGAACCAGAAAAAATTTCGGCCATGGATGAGCCAGAGTTGACCACAAGCCTCCCAATCGAAGAAAATAAACCCTCTTCTTCTGGTACTTCAGATTCCTCCTCCGGCGGTATTAGAGGGGGTCTAACCGATTTAGGAGGCCTTTGATATGGTGGCACAGGCGAAACTTTCTTCATTGGAGGTCTTAGATCCTGCAGTAGAAGAAGAAATGAGTAACTGGTACTTGTTGGATTTTAGCCATAAGGAAGCTCAGGAACATACTAATTGTCTTTACACGAGAACATCAATTCACAGACTTGCTTATAGGCATAGATTGATTCTCAAGAATAAGCCAAGTTGATAATCATCAAAGAAAAGACCTAGCGAAAGTTAGCATCTCAGCTAAATCTGTTGGAGAAATGCTATCAACAGAAAGGCAAAGAAAAGACCTCCAAATTAACAGGTCTAGTTCATGAGAGAACATGAGGAAGATACTTATTTTCACTCCACACATCTATTACAAATTGCTTGTTTTCACATTCTTAGGTTTCAATAAATTTCAAAAAAGTGAGGTCACATACACTCTGGGAAGAAAACATGGCCTTCACTCTTTGCTGCAGCAGTGCCAACATATAACCAAAAAAGCCAGCCGCAACTAGTACGGCTATTCCTGTAATTACAAGCAAAAGTAAATTAAAAATTCCTAATTTAAAGAAAACAGGAGAATCGCATTGAGAGTTCAATAGTTGCATTTGTACCTAAATGAAAGCTCCCATTGGACGCATGTGAACAATCATCATCGTGAAGTTGTATTTCCCGAATCGCCTGGTTACCTCTGTCTACTATCAGAAGAGAACAGCTACTACCAACATAAACGACATCAAAATCATCTGAAAACTTCGCTTCCTCGCTTGGACCGTCAATATGACCTCCTCCTCGACCCCATTTCCCACCAGCTATGGTTGACATGCCTATTCAAGAAAAATGCTTTCAGTAATTATTAGCATCACCAATGACCGTGTCATATCTCCACCTGGACTAATGCGACGAAAACACCGAAGGTATTCACTAGTTTGTACTATACCCGTGTCACTGATCTTTCTGATGGCCATGTTCATTGTGTCGGCAATGTAAATATTCCCTCTATTATCAACAGTAAGCCCCTTAGGATGGCTCATCCTCGCTTCTTTAGTCTTCCCATCTACATGCCCGGAATACCCCTCGGGCGAGCCAGCAATGAGCTTGGGCCTGCTATCTGCAGTTCATTGATTTGCTTTAATGGATAAAGGATCTGCAGTAAATTGATTCATACCAATGCATAAATAGAATGCCTCAAACACGTCATGGAGATGCATATGATGCTGCATTTAGATCTCTATTGGCTTACAGACGAGAGATTTTTTCTCAACAGCTCTTTTGCATATGTAATTAGAGTAATCTCAGGTAACCACAGCTGTTTTTGTCCAAGATTTATTGTATAGTTGTATTGTTTTCACTGAACCAATTTTCGCTTATTAAATTGGTAAAGCGGTCAAATTCCGTCATATTAACTAGAGCACATATTTCAAAGCTTCAAGAGGGTTGCAAATTTGACACTTTGGGTACTTGAACAAGTTAGAAACATGGTCTAGTAAAAGCATGAAGCAGCTTAAGTAAAGAAGAAAAGAATAAAGGAGCCAAAGGGCTACAGGAAAAGTAACTAACTAGCTTTCTCTGCTGCTTATATGATCTAAATCTAGGGGTACGAAAAAGCAAATACTCCAAAAACCCGCAAAAATATAACCAGAAATCAAAAAGTTACAGCAAAAATCCAACAGCGCTGTAAAAGCAAAATTTTCAGTGATGCAGAAGCACATTATACATTTAGATTTTTAAAAAGAACAGCACAGTGCAAACCTTCAACAGTTCAGAATTTACAGGACAAGAGTGTTCGTAGTCAGTCAAGTCCTAGCATGAGGAGGGCAGAATTTCAACTTTCCCGGAGGAACATGCTGACAGATAGTTTAACTAACTAACGAACCAAGCAGAACATCAAATCGAACTCCCGAATAGCACCCGAATGTCAGCAGAGCATTGCAGAGACGAAAGTCAAATTATTATAAGGGCGATGTGAGCTTACAACGGGACAAAGGGAATGACATTCTGTAGAGGTTACTATTCGCAGAGTCCAGCACCATAAGCTCCCCACTAGGAGAGACCTCAACCGAATGCGGTTCAATTCCGAGCTTGCTACCATCAAAAACTGTCTCCACGGTGTATCCACTTTCGAATTTCATCATTGAACGGCTAGGAACAGCTGGAGGAAACCAAATCATACCAAAGTTATTAACCAACATGTCTCCACTAATCACCTCTTCATTGGCTCATTTGAGACCAACATTTCATTTAAAGGAAAGAAAAGAAGTGCAGAGACGCATGCGTAAGCTCAATCAAGAATCTTACTTGGTTTGGAAGTGGATTGTTGCAGCGACCACAGCCATTTCACAAGAGCAGATACTACATTGGACACAGCACTACCCAGAATTTCTACAATGTCGATGTTCGACCCATTTCCAACCCAAAATTAGTTTGTTCACGACAAAGATGAGACCCGATGAAATTGAAAAGGACCCATAAACGAGAGAGAGAGAGAGAGAGAGAGAGAGAGAGAGAGAGAGAGAGAGAGAGAGAGAGAGAGAGAGAGATGAGACATACTTGCAGGAGTAGCTGAAGCTGATGAGAAGCCTCCACAGAGAATCACTAGGATGAGGACAAAGACAACCCAGTTTCTGCTCATTGCTGTTTTTCACCAGAAACATTGGACAGAATGCTCAAAGATGAAGATTCAAGCACCCCATTTCAAGAACTGACCCACAGAGATAATGTGTCCCACTTTCTCTCTCACTTGCACATTGATAAGCAGAATCCTCTTTTAAGAGAGAGAGAGAGAGTGCAGAAGGGACAAAGGAAGTATGGTGGTGGTGACTGTGGAGGGGAAGTTTTTATATATATAGTGAACAAAATGGGAAGGCTTGCCTTCAAGGACAGAACCACAAGCAAAGGGAAAAAGCCTGCAAGGAGGAATCGTGTACTTGGTTCTTGTCTCATAAATTTGCTTATGCCAATTTGCTTTATCAGGTCATTTAATGGGCGCTTACACTTTGTTAAACGTTTATGCAAGCCTAGATTTGCTACACCCATTTACTTTATGCAGAAGCAAGTGTGTGGGAGAAGATGTCTGAGAAAGATGATTGCGTTGCCCCTTCACATTTGCAGTTTTTCTCACTTTAACCTCTCCATTTTTTCATTCTACTCCCTAGATTCAATGGAATTATCGCAATTTGCCTTCGTTTCTTACTTCCACTAGCAAAGCTAATAGACCATAGATTCAATCGACCTTCAATTTCCTTCCAATGCTTTGGCTAGAACTCATTTCTAACCATGCTAGTGAAGTCTAAATTCAGCTATTTGAGTGTTCTAAGCATAAATGTCTCGTGAACTGTTGGTCTTCCTCTGTTTTATGAATTTCGCCTTTTGCTTGGTATCGCTGATAGCGATGGTTTGGTAACATTGTTGTTTTTTTCCTGACTGCTAAGCACAATATGAATACTAGTCAGTGATGCTGTTCCATTTACAATGATGTAATACCCTCTACTGATGTTAACCTTTCTTTATCGACACTGATCTTGTCATAAGTCATATGTCTATAGTCCCTGCTGGAAATGTGACCCCAAGGGAGACCATTGTCATGGCTGCTAGTGCTAGTAGCCTTTCTCTCGGTTTAGGCTCAGTCCAAGAAATCTTCTTATGCACATTTAGAAACTCAAATATGAGAGATCTAAAGTCATCACGATGGTAGTTTATAATAAGTGTGTCATAAATACATAAAGTTGCGACCTAACTGATTTGTTGAAAGGAAAGATTATTCCGTGAACCTACTGCATGTCCCTTGAGTCTATCTAAGTCATTTGATCATATGTGGGTCTCATGTGTAAAATGGCCTCAATGTATGAAGCAAATGGATCCGCTAGATTAAATGGTCGGGATGCACTTATGTGAATGCCTGAACTTAAAGAAAGAAGCCCGATCTTTTTCCATTTAACAATTTAGAATCTGGATTTGATTAAGAATTATCAATCAGGTTCAAATTTAGAGGTCCCTTGGGCTGATCAAGATCTTTCAAGAAAGCGAATGAAAGCCCTCGCAAGCTGTGTAATTTTAATGGCCCAATTCACCTGCAATGCAACCAAGAGATCTTCAACTTAAATGTCTGATACAACCATTTTCCATGATCTAATGGAGCATTATCACTTCTGATAATCAAGTGTAAACGTGAGTCAAGGGCACCTTTTTGCTAAGTACTGATAAGTGACCGAAGCTGCAATCTTTGGTTATTCTTGGGATGAAAGCTGACATCGTCTTCTTGATAGAAACCGGTAAGACTCTTTTCTTAGACTCGATCTGCTATGGACTCGGGAGTCATCGAAGCTACACATTTGAAAGGAAATATAGGCGAAAAAAAATGACCCTAGAACATGAAAGTTGGTCAAAAGGGTTGGTCGAAGGTAGGATAATAACAAGGAGGTGTGGATCATTAGAATCACACAGATATGCCTCGCTCAAACACGCCCGCAAATCCTATTTTAGGACGAAACAACATCATTTGATAGCTCTATTTCTGACATATACATGGCAAGTCAAAAACTGCATTTTCTATAATACAGCAGCAGCAGCATCAGACCTCATAAACCATCCCAACCTCTAAGCTTGATGCATGAGGAATGCTCAGAGCATAAGTAGGCCCTCTAGAGTTCCTCCTCAAGAAGTCATACCCCAGATTGATAACTACCTTCTTCATAAAACTTGACCCTCTCTTTGCCCTCACATATGCGTGCCCCATGATGAATGCCATCCCTGCCTCCCTCGCTTCCATCAGTTCTTTCAGCTCTTCACGCGCTTCCCGGTCCATCCTCGGACTCTCCGGCACTAGGAACCTCACTCTCTTCCTTGGCTTCTGCGGAGAGATTACCTCTACTACTTCTGATGAGGCGCCTTCCTTTTGAGAGGACCCCGCATCGTCTTCGCACAATCTTACCCCGTCCATATTGGAAGAAGACGTCCCGACGACTGTCATTTTCTCGTCTTCCAAATCCTCCATCCTAGTGGTGCATTCCAGCCTCTCCGACCGAACTAGTTCTGCGATGCTACAAAAGAGATCCTTCTCAAACTCCATGTCGTCCTTGTGAATGTCACGATATCCATACCGAGCTATGCACCTATATACCCGGTACTCCTTGGGGCCTACTCTTCCCACCAAGAACCTTTCCTTGGGCCTGACATGCGGGACTGGGACGGATTTGATGCAGAGAAAGACTACAACCTGGTGGAAAGCCGGAAGGTTGGTGACAAAGTGGGAGAAGATAGCCGGGATTCCCGAAACAAGTTCTGTGTGTATCAGTCCAATCCCCCGAACTCTCACAATCCCCAGATTGGGACCAAGACTAAGGAGCCAGTGCATGGAAACCTTATTTTGGACGTCGAACTCGTACTTTTTGAGCGTCCCGTAGTGCCACACATACATGATGATCATAAATATGAACGAGAGGGCAATGGGGACCCACGCTCCTTCGAGAAACTTGATGAGGGATGCGGAGAAGTAAAGCGCTTCAATCGAGCCAAAGAAGAAAATGAAGCAAAGAGCCAATAGAATGCTCTTGTGCCAGCACAGGACTATAACCAGAGACATCAGGCAGGTAGTCACGAGCATGACAGTAATAACTGCCAAACCTATTCAGATAAAGAAGAGATTCAGCATGTTAATGTAAGAAAAAATGCAACAAAATTTATGGTAAACCAATTGAATTTGTGCTTGAAGATGGCGGCAATATATTGGAATGAGAGGACCCTGATTTGTACCAGAAGCAGGTTGTTTCTCAAATTCTCATAAAGTAGACAAAAGGAGAGGTCAAACTGATAATGCAAAACAAAGTGTTCATCCAAAAAAAAAAAAAAAAATCAGATGGTGCTTTGCAAATGGTACAAAACAATACCTGCTGCATTGCCCATCCGCTTGGTGTCCCTAAAACCAACAGTCACGGCCAAGCAGAGAAGCATCAGAGTCCAGTTGATCTCTGGAATATAAATCTGGCCGTGTATCTTGGACGACGTATGTACTATCTTGACTCTTGGAAAGCAACCCAGAGCAGAACACTGCTTTATTATCGAGAAGGTCCCGGTGATGATCGCTTGACTTCCAACTACTGCCGCTAGTATTGCTATCACCAGCACGGGCCACCTTATCTTCTCTGAAATGGAAAGATAATAGCTCAAATCAATAATCAGAGGACTCGCTCAGATGATGACGCTTTTGTGACGTACCTGGTACTGACACATAGAATCCAATGTGGTAATGACTATCCATAACATGATGCTGGGACAGATAAGCAGCTTGTCCCATGTATGCCAAGATTAAGGATGGATAAACCACACAGGTAAAAGCGATCTGCATCAACAATATCTTTGATTAGTAATATGAACTTTTAAGTGTGTTCCTAAAATTGCTCAATTGGATTTTTTGGAGTGGTTTTGTAGTGAAAACAAATGTGGTTCCTTTATCCATGTTTCCAAGACATTCCCCCGATAATAAGCCGAATGAACTGACCAAATTCCCCCTAATGATATTGCATGGGGAAGACAGCTAAAGCTTTCTAGTTAGGCAAGGGCAAGAGGCTGCTAACTTTACTTATCCACCGTAGCTTAAGAAGCAGTGCAACCTCGTTGATCATATCTAAAGGGACTGCATAGCCTCTAGATTGTACTCTACTGGTAAGGATAGATATGGATTGAAGCACTTGTCAAGAAGACTTGAGGTTCATGCAATTATGGTCCTATTAAGCACCAAGGGAGCTTGGCCAAAAAAAAAAAAAAAAAGACCAAGGGCGTATCTATCAACCCAAAATAGATTCCCCTTCATGGTGAAAATAAAGCCAGAGCCAATGTCCAGTGAAACGGGTAACATATCTCCAATACCTTGATCGACAACTGGGAGAAATGACCTAGATCAGCAAACATAGCTTCCGAGCCTGGGATACAGAAACAAACGGTGTAAGGGGAATATGTAGCACCAAATCGAGTTGACAAGAGAGGATGCAGCTCAAGTACATACTCTTGTACCTGTAATGCACAATAGAATTCCTCCCAAGGACATCCAACCTCCCCTCTGTGTCTTCTTCAAAAACTTGTACATGTAATACGGAGAGAGTGCTTGGTAGACATGGGGATTCCAGTGGAAGATGTTATATACACCAATGGCACTGATACAGAAAAGCCATGTAATCACCACAGGTGCAAAAAGGAAACCGACTCGATGGGTCCCATAATGTTGCAGAGCAAACAAAAACACAAGTATGGCACAGGCTACTGGGACTTCAACATCTGCAAAATTGAGAAAGCAGAATTACTGAGCCTGAAGGGTCTGCAAGCACTTGAAGATGAGGAAATGAATAGCCCTGAAATATCTGTTTGAATGATATCATGCTAGTCCTATGGTAACGAATGGCCAAGGAGGGTTTGCCAACACCCATTGCCCTATGATAGTCAATTATGTAGTGATTCCGGAAAACATTCATTAGAGTGAAAGTGGCAAAGTGCAGGCTGTTATCATGTTTCATCATAGTTTTTTTTTGGTAAGGATGTTTCATCATAGTTGTATATCATGTATTCCAAAAAATAGGGTTTGTAAATTTGACAAGATACTAATATGATTTACAAGAATGAATCCATCAAAAAGTTTGAAGCTAAGTTGACCAAATGATTTGGATTGGTGAAGCAACGTGACCTTCAGGGAAGTTTTGGCAGCTATAAAGTTCTCCTATAACTGAGCGATTGGAGGTAAAGAAGGACTTGTCTCGAAGAACCACGTTTGTCACCTCTCTATGCATGACAGGATTCTAACATAGGGAAGTATCAAGAAAACTAATTGAGA